TGCCCCTCTCCAGTACGTCGCAGCCACTCGGGGAAACAGCGTTGATGAGCTAACTGACAAAGCAGGCACCTGAGCCGCAAGGTGTTGATGGACTGATTGACATCAAATTTGCAGTTCCCTGGGAGGCAGCAGAGGTCCAAATTCAGCTGACAATGGTCAGAGCGAAAGAAGGAAAGCAGAAAGCGCAGCCCAGTGCCCAGGGATGAAGTAATCCAGACTCCACACGTCATGTGAAAAACTCCAGAGCGTTGGGTCAGAGCATTCAAGAGGAGGTTTCACAGGAACCCAGGAAAAGGTTGATGTTAAGGTCTAAAGGGTTTATTCAACTACCCCCAGCATAGAAAATAACTGCGTGGAGAACAAACCACCACATGCGATGAGATAAAGTGTTACTCAGCAGTGATAGGACTGAATCAAACTGAGGAGACAGTTAACAGCTGGTGGAGATTGGAATCTCAGGAACAGAATGCCTCTGTGTCCTATTGCGTCCTATCCATTTAATCTTCATATTCGTCGAGTCCTTCCCTGCTTCTTTTTCTCTTGTTTCTTCTAAGCAGTGTAGGCATTATTAGCCCCATTTTACAAATAAGGAAATTGAGGCTCAGGCACCGCCTTGGAGTGCCTTGTTCACCGTCACAAGGCTATTAGATGGTAGGGCTGAGACTAGAACCCAGTTCTTTCTTGAACATAGGATCATAGATTTAGAGCGGTAAGGGACTTGGACAGTCAACTAGCTAGGTGGCGCAGCAGATAGTGTTGAGCTTGGAATTGGGAAATCCTGTGTTCAAATCCCACCTTAAGACATTTACTAGCTTTATGATCCTGGGCAAGATTCTTAAGAGTTCATACTGTGTAAGATGTGGTAAATCACATGGGAAAAGGTCTTCCCTTCCTTCCTTCCTTCTTTTCTTCCTTCTTTCTTTCTTTCCTTCTTTCCTTCTTTCTTTCTCTCTTTCTTTCTTTTTTCCTTCTTTCCTCCTTTCTTCCCTCCTCTCCTCTCTCTCCTTCCTCCCTTCTTTCTTCCTTTCTCTCTTCCCTTCTCCCTTTCTTACTTCCTTCCTTCCCTCCTTCCCTGCTCTCCCTCCACCCTCTCTCCTCAGTCTCCTTCCTTTTTCCCTTCCTTCCTTCAGACACTGAAGATAAAAGGGAGTATGACAAGATGGATAGAGTACTGGCTTTGGAATCAAGATGGCCTGAGTTTAAGTGCTGCCTGACATATACTAGCTGTATAACCAGGAACAAGCCACTTATCCTCTCATTGTCTGTCTTCAAAAACCACTCTTTAAGATTATAAGACTCAGATGAGAGAGGGAGTTACCATACTAGGAGTTCCCACACCAATGAAACCACAGGTCCAAGTCAAAAAAAAAAAAAAAGATGGCCAGTCTATTTTATGTCTTCCTTTCTTGTCAGTTGAAAAAGAACAGCCACTCTCTGCCTACTGTACATAGGATGAATGTGTCTGCTCTTTTGACTTGCTCCATGGCTCGCTTGTGTACTGCCACGTGTTTTGGGGGCATTTCTTCAGCCTGCCCAGCTTCCAGTGCCCTTCAGTATCAGGTATGTCAGTCCCAGCAACAGTATTCTTCTTCAGCCTTCCCCGTGACAGCATCATCCTTCCAAGCCCTGGAGCTTGAAGGGTAATTCCACAGTCTGCCCTTTTGTCCTCCCCCTTTCAGAGAAATATTTATTTCTACGCCCTCCTTTTAAGAGTAAGCTGAAGAAAAGGCCAGAGTACAGTGTGGACCCCTCTGGGACCTTGCAGTCGACTTCAGCCTCCATGAACTCATTCCCTGTGACTCTCTGGAGTGAGGTTGCCACGTTGAACTTGCTTCTGAATCTGCTCACAGCCAGTTGTGAGTTCCACGGACATCTGGAATGGGTTGCCACATGTTGAACCACAGTCACCAGTGCAATTGAGAATATGTAGTTGTTATTATTAAAAGCAACTGTTAGAAAAGTTAGCAGAAGGGGAATCTGGACATCATCATACAAACGAGTCCCCAAATGGAATAGCATAGAATGTTGACCATACCATTCTCAAGTGTATGTGGATCTTCTGAACCGCTGATAAGCATCCTGTGTGGAGGAGGGGTTGCTATGTGAAGTAGAGGGTACTTGAGTATAAGCTCCTGGGGGTAGGGACTTTTTCATCCTTGTATCTCTCCCCACACCTCTAGCAGTCCTCTGTACATAGAAGGTGCTTAATAGAGCCTCAAGGAATACTTTTGATCTTATTCCTTCAATAGATCCAAGATCCATGTTTTCCTACTCCATGCAGTTCTCATCCAGGTCTTTCTTTGGATCATAGATCTAGGTTTGGAAGGAAGCTTCCAAGTTATCTAATCCAGTCTTAAGAACTGTGATCAATTTAATGACCAACCGTGATTTCAGAGGACTGATCATGTGTGCTATTCAATTCCTGACAGAGAAATGGTAGACTCAGGGCATGGAATGAAATATATTTTTCGGAAGTAACCAAATTTTTAAAAAAACAGAAGTTATCTAGTCCAAACTCTTCATTTTACAGATGAGGAAACTGAGACCTAGAAAGGTTAATTGACTTGACCAAAGTCATAGAGATAGATAGTAAGTTGCATAGCCAAGATTTGAACTCAGGTCCAGGTCTCTGTAGAGAAGATGTACCCGACCAACTGTAGGCCTCCCTCTAAATTTTGTTTTTCATATGTCATAGGTGCCGATGCAATTCACTTCCACTCAAAAAACATTTATTAAGCACCTCTTGTCTACAAGGTTCTGTGCTTAGGATACAAGGACCAAAACCCCCAAAAATACCAAACTAGTTTGCGTCCTCAAGGCAGTGATATTTCACTGGGGAGGGTGAGGGAGGAGGGTGCCCAAAGTATTCACAGATAAGTAAATCCAAAGTAATTTGAGGAGCAGTGGCAGAACGATGGAGGAGCAATTCACAATGGTGGAAAAGAAGGAAATCTTCATGGAGGATGTCGTGTTTGATCTGTGCCTTGACGATGAAGAGGGAGTCATTCCAGTCATGAGTAACGGCCTTTTGTAAATGCACCGAAGGGCGAGATGGAACGTCAGGTGCAAGGAACTTGACTAATGGATGGCACGTAGAGTACCTCAAAGGAGATGACATAAGATAAGGCTGAAAAAGGTGAAGAAGGCCTTGAACGCCATGCCTAAGCATTCGGATTATGTCCTAAAGACAGTAGGAAGGTTCGCCAGGGGACTTTGAGCAAAGCAGTGGCGTGCTTAGCCCTGAGCCTTAGGAAGATTATCCTGCCAGCCATGTGGATGGGAGGGAGAGAGACTAGAAGCTGGAGACCGACTAGAAACTGATTAAAATGGTGCAGGGGAGAGGTGGTGGTGCCAATATGAGAGGAAATAAGAGACAAGGGATGGGGAGGTGTGATTCAACAGGTTGGAGAAGCAGCAGATGGACGAGGTGAACAAGGGAAAAGTTGCTCATGCTATAAATCTAGGTGATGCAAAGGATTGTAGTGCTCTCTATAGAGATGAGGAAGTTAGGGTTTGGGAGGGGATTTCCTCTCTCCCACCCCCTCCTCTTCCCTGTCCTCTTTCTCCTCTCCCCTCCCCTCCACTGAAGGCTTCCTTTTAGGGAGAGGCTGGGTGGCCACTCCTGGGTACCAGGTTAACTGAATGATCTATAAAACCTTTTCCAGCTGACATTCTGGGGTTACAGAAGGCCCTGAATGCCAGGCTGAGGAGCTCAGACGTTATTCTCTAGAGAGTGGAAAATTAGTTGCCTGACTTGCTGCTCCATTTACTTGGAAAATGCCCCTGTTTTTGTGATTCCAGCAGCATCTCCTCCACATGACTCACCATTGGAAAAGATGGAAGTCATTTTATTAGATTAGAGGGTTAGCTCCTTAAAGGAAGGGGGCCAGCTGTATCCCTCTCACAGTGCCTGGCACACCACTCAGCAACATACAGTGAGCACTTAGTAAGCGAGGCTGCCATGAGGAGATCTGCAGAGGGTTGAACCACCCTGGATCAGCAAAACCTCTATTGTTACCTGTTTGCCAAAACAAGGGAGTCTTCCCGTTATTATTTTAGTAACGAAAAAGGCCACGTGATCTCTTGCAAACATTCTGCCTGCATTTCTCATTTGCCAGCCTGAATGTACTGATCAGTACATGAGCACAGGGTCCCCTGTGGGTGCTTGTCCAAGCCGGCAGGGAAGGTTAGGAAAGCTGGGGGCCAACAGGGGAAAAGGAGGGCTCTGAGGAGGGGGAGGGGGGGAGGATGAGGAAGAAGAAGAGGGAAAGGAGAAGGAGGAAGAAGAAAGGGAGGAGAAGACACCAAAGGGCGTATAATATGGAGAAAGCTATGTATTTCTTCTGCCCACTGAAAGCTCTGAGACCCGACTCTTAGTGAATCAACAGCTCAAAATAAATACTCTCATGCCAGGAATCGTGTAATTTTCTGGCACTTACAGATATCTTTTTTTAAAAATATTTTTAAAATTCCATTTTTAAGTCCCTCCCTTCACCTTCCTCACTACCACCCACTCACCCTTATTGTGAAATATTTGACTAATTTGCCTGCCTACCTCTAGTGGACAGGAGCCTTGTGTGTAAGTGACATTTGGCAAATCATACCCTAAGACATCTGACTGTTCCACCTTGGCTGACTAGCCTGACGCAGCTTAGTGGTACAATGGCTAGATCCCTGGGATTGAAGTCAGGAAGGGCTGAATTCGAATCCTTAATCTGACACTGACTAGTGGTGTGACCCTGGCAAGTCAGTTAACCTCTGTGGGCCAAGTTTCCTCATTTGTAAAATGAGAGGTTTGATCTTAATGGCCTCCAGAGTCATCATAAGTTAACTAGCCTCAATTGCAGATATAGCTCCTCATGTTTGTTGTTGTTGTTGTTAATATAAAGATGGCACCAAAGTAGAACAGTAGCAGGTTTCAGCACCCGGGCATGTACAGTGAATGATCAGTATCCAGGGACTATCTGATTCTCACTCCACTTTTTTTTTTTTAATTGCAGTTGGAGTTAACAGTGGTCCCCCACCCTATGGATTCAGTCTTCCTCCAGAAGATGAAATGAGAACGCAAAGACTCAAGAGATTTGACCGTCGCTGAAATTACCCAGCATCTTGTGAATCATCGGTCCAGTTTCCCAAGTGTTAACCACCAGATTCATTCCAGAAGCCTCCGGTTTGCTCTGAGGAAAACCAAAGCACTCTCCTTGAAGCACTCCTCCAACCTGAGTGACTCATTCAACAGACCTCGCAAGTTGGGAGTCACGTGCCCCACTGGCAATTTTGTGGAAAGGGCCTCCCCTGTGACAAGAGCACCACCTTTCCTGTTGGATGTCCCCACGGCCACCGTGGAAGGCTCTTGGAGTTTGGGACCTTCCATGCCAAATTTTGTTTTCTCCCATTCAGGAAGACCATTGCCTCATTCTGGATGGTGGATCTGCTCTTAGAAGTGGCCAGACGTGTGGCTCCCTCCTCATCTTCCCGATAGGCCACCTTAGTGACTCTGGTGGAACTTCCTTGACTGCACACCTCACGTTCTCTCCAGGCGTCTTTGGGTGGGTGTGATGTTCACATTTTAGTTCCTTTGTGTGTGTGTTGCTATTGTTTAAACAACACATTTCATTGAAAAGATCTCAGGAAGAACTTGGGGACAGAGATACACATTTTAACCATTATGAGACACCAGCATTTTGTATCTGTCAGCTTTGCCTCAAGTATATAAATCTGTGTAAGTTATCTGACTGCCCTCAGGGAACTCGGAGTTGAAAATTCCTTTCTAGAGCAAGTGATATCTTGTAAAATTAAAAGACTCCCGATTTGGTCACCAAAACAAGCTCCATATTCAGTTGTCTTGACTCGACGCCCCCAGCAGCTATCTGTCAGTTAGCGTCATCACCATTTTTAAGCTGCCCTTGTGCTAATGCCATCAGCTGCCTCAAAGACAAAGTCAGAGTAGCACTGATGTGTTCTTAGAGTTGGTCTTAGTAAAAGTTGGAAGCAGGTATCTCCAAAGAGAATTTTCCCAATTTGGTTTTAATCATGGGTTCTCAAGACTAGACACACTGAAGAAGTAATTGCCAATTAGTGTGATGTATGTGCCCCAGGAGTACCTGACTGTGATGGTAAGAGGTAAGGAGGCATGGTAGATGTCCAGTAGGGCTTGGAGACAGGAAGACCGGGGATTGAATCCTGCCTGTGATCCTCTTAGATTTCAGTAGGATGAATGCTCCCACTGTGGAACGTAAGCTCCTGGAGGGCAAAAACTGTCTTTTTTTTTTTTACTTTTCATCCCTCAGTGCCTTCCACGGTGCCTGGCACATAGTTGGTTTTTAACAAATGTTTGTTAAACGAACGAATGATATCAAGTAGACGTATGAACATGGACAACTCACTGACCCCCTCTAACTCGTTTCCATTTCTGTAAAATGGCAATACCTTTAGTAACTACCTCACAGGGCTGTTGTGAGGTTAAAATGATGCTTATAAAGCATTTTGTAAGCCTTACCGTACTATTTAGATTTCTATTATTATTCTAATCTCTGACAGATCAATAGATGATCCGTTGAGCTCCTTTATCATATATATGTACATTTGTATGCGTGCATATTTGCTCACAATATTAGTTATGTTGTGCCTTAGTCAGCTTCATATAATCTTTTCAGCTGAGAAAAGGAGTCTAATCACTGTGTTGCAGAATTGGGGGATGAATGACTGCTTCTTTCCTTCCACTGAAAATATTTGTTGTTTAACACAGTAACGTTACTAATGGACAAGGATGCAAGGCCAGAATTTTTGAAAATAAGAAATGTAGCATTGGAGGGGAATGCCTCACTGGGGAAGCAGAGGATAACCAATCACCAAGATCACCTCTTCTCCCCAAATGAAAACAAGTGTAGGACAACAATGTTGACCACCATGATGTGCTTTGTTTTGACCTTCTCAAGGAAGCCATCTTTTAAAAATCATTGTAGCTATTTTGTTAAACCAGAAGGCCTTTCTCGTGCTAAGGCATATGATTTTTTTATATTCTTTTGTTCCCCCCGGAACTCTGGGTTAGGAGAGAATGTGTGGCCAGCACTATGATGTGGGCACCATGGGAGCCTTAGAAGATTAACTTTCCCAACATGGCAGCCCCACAGACTTGGTCCATTATTTGGAGGTGGTATTTGAGTTCTGTCTGATTCCTACGCTGTTGTTTAGTAGTTCCATTTTGACTTGGAGTCCCTCTAATTGCACCTGCTTTTACTTCTGTTTTCCTTGGGATTTTAGAACTAGTTTTACAATGGCAATATTTACTTATAATGACTTGGAGTATTCCACGTGCAACCAAGGCCAAAGGGATATATGCACCTTTTTTATTCTTTTTTTTTCTTTCTCAACAGTGGCTCCTCTTTTTGAACACAGGCTGGTGCTGGCACCATGCTAAGTAGTCTGTGACCAAAGGTGGATGTTTCTGTGTTGGTCAGTGGCATTTCTTGTGTTTGTTTCCAGCATCCACCAAAGCAAGTGCCTTGAGGGTTAATAGCATAACCCCAGCAGATCAACAAAGAGGTTATCATAGGCTTGGCCTTTCTGCCCCTACTCTTGGTTTCCTGGGAGAGCTTTTTAAATATTATAGGAAAGGTTAGCCAGTACTTTCGATTTAGGCCCTGAATATGCTGCCTTTGCAATGGCCTTCGTAGTCATCCTTTCCTTTCCGTGCCATCACTCAGGTCAAGCCTTATAACTCACACCTGGACTATCGAAGTCCCATGCTCCCCTCCCCCATTGTTCTCCTTTTTCATCCTAGAACATTGCCCATCATGTCACTGTGCTGCCCTCAAAACCTTAACAACTTCCCATTATTTGGAAAGACAGGTCAGGGCCGGATTGTATTTGACTGAGAAGCCTGGACTTTCTCCTAGAGAATGTATATGCATATACACACATATACATTTCATACACACACACACACACACACCCTATCTAATTCATTCTCCATTGAATGGGACATGAGCACACTCCACTCCTTCTCCACCTTCTCCGTCCCCCCTCTCGGCTTTCTTTTTATACTGTTCATTCCAGTTAGTCTGTCCTCTCCTTTCCTCAATATGTATTGATATCATAATTGTTCTTTGAAGTCCAGCTCAGCCTCACCCTTTACACCTTCTACCTACCTACCACCCACAGTGCACTCTCCCTTCCCTAACCCCACATCAAACGTTTTTTAAAAAGCCTATATTATTCACTTGACACTTGTCATACATGGCCTTATAGCACTGATTTCCTATGTTGCTGTGCCCTGTCTCCCTGTCTAGATTGTAAGCTCCTTGAGGGCAGGGACTGTCTTAGACTTCCTTTTGTCCTCCAGCGTGCAGCCAATAGAGGTTCATTAAATGTCTGTGAATAGAAACGAAAACACTTGGTTTTACAGTCACCAAAAGGATGAATAAAAGCAAGTGAACCCAGTTTCTTCCTGGTGCATGTTCTTTCCTCTTCTCTTCCAGCACCATGTGGGGAAGGGGCAAAAGGAGGATATGAAGCCCGCACGCACACCACATCAGGACACACATTCCCATCTGACATTACAAGTCATCTTGGCTTCAGCTCCAGTGTGTGTATAATTCACACATCACATTTGCAGCAACATGTGGAGAGAAGCCTTTGCCCATGGGAAAAGGGAGTCTCCGAGCTATTCCTGGATCTTCAGAAGATGACGTGCTTGCTGGTTGATGGCACGAGAGCACCTCTGACGTGATGAGTCAGTCGAAGTGGCATCACCTGTCTTCATGGGCATCTGATCACACAAAACCCTGAACTCAGCAATTCCATTAAACACCAATGAGAGATCAGTAATGGAGCACCCAGATCTGGTAGCATCTCCTTGTTTCTAGGCATTTAGTCTGCGTGTAGCATTTTCCTACTGAAACATCATTTGATGACAACATGGTGAGGTATTGCAGGGTAGGAGAGCAATGGTATAAGACCTAACAGCCCAGTCAAGTTGCCACGTTGCTTAGGGAGACAATTTCCAGCTTGGTTACATCAGAAAACTCTGTGTGTGGTGTGTGTGTGTGTGTGTGTGTGTGTGTGTGTGCGCGCGTGCACGGGCATGCACAAGCATGGATATATCTTAATCATCAAAGGGTGGTGGTTTAGTTTAGACTTTTCATCTTCATGGTTTTTCCCCCTTATGGGAACAGAGAATTAGAACAGAGAATCTGCAGCAGAATTGGTAGTTCCCAGAGCTCTGAAGACGTTCAGAGGAGTTGGAGGTCATGGAAGCCGTCCAGGAACCATGGCAGCAGCCATCCATGCATGAAGCATCCGGACACTCTATCAACAGTACTCACAAAGGGGTGCTAGACTAGAGCAAGTTGGAATGTTTGTCTGCTATTAGAAGTTTTGACGGGAAGGTACACGGACACTTGCCCCACTGGATGAGAAGGGGTCAATGGAGTGTATTCTCTGCCATTCACTGATCGGAGCAACCACAGCAGTGAGATCATGGATGCATATAGAAGATGTAAAAGGTACTGGTCCCCACATTCCCCACCCCCAGGTCTTCCCATCTTGCCTTCTAAAATGTTCATCTCCCAAAGGTGAGTTGCTGAGGACAGAATATTTATAACAACTCCACGTTTGTCATGAGCTGGGGCATTTTCTTGCTTTTGTAAGAGTAACCTAACAAATTACTCAGACCTAAGATTATCAGAGACAGTGATAAAGTACAACATATACTTATAACACAGTGTTCATTCGTTAAGTACTTACTGTGTGCCTAGTATCATGCTGGATGCTAGGGGACTACCAAGTGTTGGTAAGACATAATCCTTGTCCTCATGGAGCACAAGGACTGGAAGAAATCCAAGACATACACATGGGTAGATATAGAGATGGGCATAAGGACTCTACCTGGAATTTCATTGGCATAGGGAACACCTTGGATGAGGAAACCTTCCACCACCCAGACCAGTACCTTCTCAGCAATATATATAGTCTTATTTACCTAGACCACTGAGAGGTCTAAATGTCTTACCCAGAGCCACGTAACTAGCATGCATCCAAGGCTGCACTTGAGCTCACCTCTTTCTGGCTCTGAGACCATCTCTCTCTACCACACCATGCTGTCCCTTATAGGGATAGCTTTAAGTCACCCAACAAATTCATTAATAATAGGTTTTTAAAACTAACATCCTCTAGAGTTTCTCACAAATTGGTACCAAGTTCTAAGAGTATGGCAGCATGTCGGGTGTGACGTAATGTCATTTTCACCTGCTTGTGTTTGATGAGCCCTCTCTGAGGTCCATTTGGCAGTTTCATTTTGTACACGTCCATGCCTTGCACATTTAATTGGGGTGTGCACTCAGGGAATGTTCATATAATTTTTGAAAGGATTTGTATTATTTTTAAAATTTATTGACTATACATCATAAAGGGCATTCTTTTTATTGCTCAAGTGGAAGAAACTTAAACTCTCTTCTTGTTGTCGTTATTTGTCCTTTATTTTCAATAACAAGCTAAAGAAACTTAAACTCCTTTTAAATTAACAATTAAACCCTTATTTTAAAAATACAAATTTTGCAAACCAAACTCTTTTCTTCACACTGAGACAGGAAACATTTTCAGTTTTATATTCTAGGCTAAAAAAAAGAGTTTCCAACTCCCCAAATCCTGTACTTTGGCATGAACGGCTGAGTGTGGAGTTTAAGACCTGGTGACCTTATGGGGTGTCCTTTCAAAATGTTAACTCTCTTGTCATCCTTGTAGCATCCAGAGCCCCAGGACCACAAACTCCAGGCTGGGCCCCAGAAAACAAAATGACCAGGGAAGTCAAATGTCTAGTTTGGGACTTCTTAACCTGGCACCCGTGAACTTTTTTTTAATGTTTTTAATAACTATTGCAAAATATTGGGTTTCCTTGGTAATCCTATTTTATGCACTTTAGAATGTTATTCTGAGCAAGGGTCCAGAGGCTTCACCAGATTGCCAAAGGGGTTCAGGACACAGAAAAAAAGATGAACAGAACAAGGTCTAGTGGATTTTTCCCTGACCTGGCTACAGCCAGTTATAGTCCCCAGTCTGGGGACCCTCGGGAGATAAGGAAAAGGGTAGAAAGCCCACCTTTGCCCAGAAGCAATTAGGCTCAACTAAAGTAGGTCACAGTCCTGAGAAGGCCCAATAAAGGGACCCTGGATTGTGGGGTAACAAGAGTCCATGTAAGTCTCCTTTTTCCTCCTGGCTCAGAGCTGTGTGGAAGTTGAGGGAGACAGAAGAGGCAGAGGGGCTAACTGTAATAACTGGGGGTCTGAGAGGTTGGGAAAGCCACCCCCATCCACTCCTGGTGGGCTCTGGCTCCCCAGTCATCTTCACTGCCGCTTTGGGGCTGGAGCCCAGGCATACCCTGGATGGACACCCATGATTTTATAGATGAGGAAACTGAGGCCCTTGAGAGGTGAAATGGGTAAATACTCAATGTCATTCATGCTAGAATCTGGCTTTTAGACTCTGTCTGGAATTGTTTCCACTCCATCACTCTAGAAAGAAAGGAACTGCTTGAAATGGGAATAATGATTACAACAGAAGGAAACAACTTAACCAATGAAACAGGTCACATTCCTTCTTGAAAACACAGTCAGCCCAACATGCCAGTGAAGTATTATTACACAAATAACCTAAGGATTTGGGTAGTATTTCTGTGACACACTTAAGTACCCAGTGTGGAAGTTGCTATAGTTACAACTTATTTATCAGGAGAACAGATTTAGGCATAAAAACCCAACACAAATCATCAGCATTGACAGAAACTACAGTGTTGGGCCTGAGCCACTTAATCTTTCCTTTGTCCACCCCTATCCCCAATGCAAATGTAAGAATTAGTTTGTATCCCCCCAATATTTTTTCTAATTCATTTGGGGTATTCAGTTGTAATGCCAATGCATAACAAATATGTAATCAGTGAGAATGATGTCCAGCCTCTAAACAGATATCAAATAAAAAGTTAAAATGGTGATAAATGCCATAATTGTAGGTGTGGCCAAAGTGTCAGCCTATGGTCATTATGGTATGTACCTTTGGCATCTGTATTCCACAGCCACAGAATGGGGGCCATCTGGGGATGGCTTGACTGGAGAGCGGTGCTGTGACCATTTGAAGTCTCAGGCAATTGCAAGGTAGCTTTGGGAGGTTGGATCTGCTTTGGTTTGGGATTCCTGTTAGCTATAGGATTTTTGAGGCTCTTTAAAAAGCAGCCAAGGGCTGCTAAATTCTCTCTTTGGACCGTTGAACCACTTGAACCCAACATGTCAGGCCAGAACAGCTCTAGACTAGAGTATGCCGGCCTTGGCATGGACCCACGCCCCTGGCCAAAGTGATCCGGGGTTCAGGGATCCCTCCAAAGTCTGACTCAGATGGGGAATTCATAACAATCCCACATGGTGCAGCGATTCAGGGTACCACAATCCATCTAGAACAGGGGTTGTCTGATTTCTTGGTGTCATGAACCCCTTAAGCAGTCTGGTGAAGCCTATGGACCCCTTTTCAGGATAATGTTTTAAATATAATGAGTATTATAATAAAATACATGAAATAGAGATATAAAAGAAACTGATCATATTAAAATAGTTATCAAAATAATATAAAAAGAAACCAAGTTCACAGTCTCCAGGTTGTGAACTCTTGATGTAGAACTTCCTGAAGTCAGACCTGAGTTCAAATATGACCTCAAATACTTATTAACTATATGACCCTGGGCAAGTCACTTAACCTCTCTTTGCCTCATTTTCCTTATCTGTAAGATGGGAATAATAATAGCCCCTACCACCCAGGGTTATTATGAGGATAAAATGAGATCATTGTAAAGAGCTTATCCCAGTGCCTGGTACACAATAAGCTCTATATAAATGTTAGCTATTAATTTTTTAAGCAGGAGAATCCATTATAAAAAACTGCTGGTGTTGGGGGGAAAAAAATCAAGAAGTAACAAATATATTTTGAAAGCCCACTAAGTGCCCAGCTGAGTTGTGCTAGGTAGGTGCCACAGTGAATACAAAAACAAAAGAAATCCTAACTATGGAGCACACTAAGCTGTGTGACCTTGGGCATTCTTGTACTACCTGCTTCAGGGGGCTTTTGTGAGGAAAGCACTGTCAACATCAAAACACTGTGAAATGGGAGGAAGTAATCACGAAACCCAGCCTCTGCCTCTGAGGAACTGTCTCAGTGATAAGTAGACTGAGCAACCATTCAGAGATCTTTCAAAATCCCACCTTTTTTCTCATCAGACACAAGGTGATTCCATCTTTCCTGTTCCTCCTATGAAAGTGTGTCTCTCCCCCCACCACCCACCATTGGCTTCTCCCAGATGAAATCTTCCCTCAACCATTTTAAGAGTTAGGTGAAAGGTGAATGACTAATTTTGGCTTGAGATGAATATATGGGAGCAGACAGACTAGAGTTGTTTTTGGAGACCTTCATAGTATTTTATACAAGACAAGCCAGGCTGCTAGATGGAAATGCAGCAGCTTTCACCGTCAATTGCTGAATTTTATCACCAAGCAGACATTATGTATTAAGAGATTTTCTAATTTTACAGCCACAAGTTAGAGAAAGTGATACAATTTATTGCACATATTTTGCATTCTTTCTCATGAATCATTAAATATTTAAGCACTATAAAAATTCGAGCATTTCAAGTGTGTGTACCAATCAGCCTCAGTGTTTTTAAATGCATTATGCAGAGTACTGAGCCTTGAACAGCAATGACGGTTGCAAAATACAAATTTCAATTCAGATTTTGTTCAGTTCTCTGCAAAACCTCATGACACTCTCACCACGGAGAATTACAGTCATCTTTCCAGTAGAGTGACTTTGAGAATTGAAATTCGATATAATGGAATGCTAAAAAGCTTTGTACAAGGGAGGGTTCAGTGGGGAGGGGCGAAGGAGGGTGAGATTTAAAAAAAAAAGGTATCAATAAAGCTTATTTTGAAAAGAAAAGTTAAACCACAAAGGAAAAAAAAAGTATCAGTCAAGAACCTAGGGAATTAGCAAAAGGAACTCCAATAATACATAATTACCTTTCCCTGGGGAATTGTTTTCAAGCTGATTGAAAATCACAAGTTTTTGTTTGTTTGAAGACAATGATGCTGATTTTGAAGAATAAGGTAAGACTTTAAGATAGTGCTGTTTTGAAGGATTCCACTGACACTGTTCCAGACACACTGCAGAGCAAATTGTCCACTGATTTAAGACTTTATTTTTATGTATTTGAAGGAGAAATAAATAGAATGTTGTAAAGCCAGTGGGAAAATGTTTGACTTCACATGTGACAGGCCAATATTTTTCTGCTTACCCCACACTTATAAGAACCCAAAAAGAGCCCATTTTTAAGTGCTCTGAAGTCCTTTTAAGAGGTTTGCCATTTGGAAAGGGGCAAATGAGTTATGAAATTAAATTCTATCCTAGGTACAGGGAAAAACATTGGGATAAGGACAAAAGATTAATTACAAATCTTTTAATTGACATTGAATTCTGGGTACTCTAAATATGTGTCTAGTTGACCAGCCATGGCAAACATAACTGTCATAACTGTCATTAAAACACGTAATTTTTTTTAGTTGCTCTTTGGTTTTGTTTTTTTAAGCACTTGAAAACATAAGTTCTGCAACATTTTATTTTGTAATTTAAGCTTTTCCTGTAAACCAGAAAAGACCTCAGAAAAGGATGCCATATACCATGCTTCCATTTTTGATTCTGGGTATCAAAGTCCATCCATCCCTAATCCTAACTGTAGGGACCTTTCTCCCTCTCTATAGTTTCATCATATATACATTTCTCTTTAGTTCTTTAGAGTGGATTTCTCTCCTCCCTTTTATGGGTACGTTTTTCTTTGGAATAATCTAAACTCCAATCTCTGGGAGTATCACTGTCTCATGAGTCAATGGATGTTTTCCTCTAGATTTCAGACTGAGCTTTCTTTTGGGTTCTTCAAAAGCCTCAAGACTACAATTTGTTGTTGTGGCAGGCCTTTTTTTAGAAATGGAAATTCATTACTATTTTAAGATTTTAGTATTGGGATGCTGGATTCTCAGAGAAATGAAGAATGGATCCTTTGGTGTAAAGATAACTACACTTAAAAATTAAGACATAGATGTGTTCTGAATTTTTAATGAAAATATCAATCTGTCCAATGTCAAAGTGCTGCTTTGCCTTACTATACAAATATGACATTTCAGAATTAGAAATTTTGGAAAAGGAGAATTTAACATACAAACATAACATACATACATAAACATCTACAATGGATAGCAGAATGTGGCTTTCATTTATTAATATTTTTGTGTCTTTTCAGAGGCATGACCTCGGCCTAAGTGAATAAGCTTATTTAAGATTAATTAAGCCAACCCTTAATTTTCTCTCCATAATGATGGCTCTGTCACTTTTCTCACATAAGGTACCATTAATGTACATGGAGAGAAAAGTATCAATTATAAGATGTAAAGGAACTGGACAGTCTTTCCCAGGAAGGGTGAGGAGATGCTCTGTATACAGTGCCCTTAAACTTTCTACCCCTCACATCTCACCTCCTGTATGTGGCATCCCCATTAGCATGCCTACACTTCAGGACAGACCATCCCCTTTTGCTTGCAGGGAAATCACCTGTTTGGAAGTTTGGTGGATTAGGGGGTCTATTTTCATGAATCTCTAACTTCCTATTCATTAGCACTCTTAGGGGCTTAATCCCTTATTGAATATACTTTTTTTTCATAATTGCTACTTTTCAAAAGGGCTGTCAGAGTAGGCATTTCTGTTCTCAGGGAAAAAATGCAAACGAGAAGGTAATGGCTTATGTTTCTCTGATGTTTTTATGCAAATGTGATGTGTTTCTGGGATACAGTGACTGTGAGCCATCCTAGCCTAATGACAGTTTCACCTTGGAAGTGAACTATTAACACTGGTGGTCTGGTTTCTTTGTGTCTTTGGATCATGGTTTCACGACCTTTTTAAAGTGCTTGAAGAATTCTATGATGATTTGAAGAAACCCTGGTACATTTTTTTAAAAGATCTTTCATTTTCTGGCTCTGTTGGGCTACATTTTTTTTCCTATAAAAGTCACGCACTGGCCTTCTGTGCTATGAAAACAACTAGCTTCAATTGCTGGGGATTTTATGAACCCAAGAAAGAAGCTTCTGATTAAGAGAATGCACAATCAGGCCATTTGTGATTTCTTTGCCTTGCTATAAATGAGCATTCATGGTCAATAAAGCCAGATCTTCCATCCTTCATAAGATGATAAACAATATTTGGGCACTACCTAAAGGGAGAGGTCCAGCCAAATCCTAGTTTGTTGTTTGATTTGTACTGAACTGAGAAGGGGCTTACAGTACTGTCAGGATAACCATGTTTAAATCGAGGATCATTTGAAAAATCAAATCCCTGTAATAAAGCACCATTAGAATCTTTTAACCCACCTCCCTTCCTCCCCCTAGGAAGTCTCTGTGTGAACCACCAGCAGGGTGATGCTGTGCAGCTCCTTAGCTATACTTCATGCAGACCTGGCATCTGCTGGTCTGTTGGCGCTGAGCCTGTCCTTGTTTTAAGGTGTCTGGCGAAGGAGCCAAAGAGAGCAGCAAGTCTGGTGGTACCGTGGTTAGCCAGAAGCTGTATTCATTAGCGAAAAAATGACAAGTCCCCTGCCGTCCTTGGCACTCGATGAATGGTGCCGCTCTGAAATCTTCAAGGCAGCTTCCAGGTGATGTGAGGGACTGGCCTCCTCCTTGATCCCCAGCCCCTGTGTGCTAAACAGACAACAAAGACAGCTGAAAAGAAGGTGTCAGGAAGAGGGACCGCAAAGAGTGACCGCTGGAGGGTCCGAACCAAACACTCGGAGCAGCCTCATCTAAGCCAGAGTGACGGGGTCTGGCTGGAATGAAGCCCTCTCTGACCATCTTATACCGAGAACAAAAGAAGACCTTGGGGAAAGAAGTATTGTTCACCCTGGGGAAGCAGTGCCAGTTTTGAAAAAGGCAATACAAGCTCATTTCGTGAGCTCTGCCCATCAAAGCAACAACAACAACAAAAAAAAAAAACTTAAGGTGCAAAATAGGTGTGCATCTCTGTAGTCCATGGCTCCCAAGGGGCTTTCTCGAGCTCTATTTTATTATCTTCACCACCCCTCCACCCCACTTCAACTCCAACCCCTCTTAATTCCAGTGCCTTCCCTCTGTTATTTTTTTTCCCTATTTCTCCTGTATATAGCTTCTTTGTATATATTTGCTTGCCTGCTTGCCTCCCCCATTAGATTGTAAGTTCTTTGAGGTCAGGAACTGTCTTTTGCCATTCAGCACAGTGCCTGGCACATAGGAGACACTTAATAAATGTTTGTTGATTGATTGATTCTGATATTTCAGAAAAAATACTATTTAAACTTGGGATAAAGGAGCTGGAGAAGAGCTTTACAAAATCCCAGGCAATGTAGATGCCACGTAACTTACCATTAGGAATGAATACCCTATCCAAAGGCTCCTCCAGTTGGGTGGACATGGAGGGATTGCTTGATCTTGACTGTGCACAGCTATAGCCTGAGCTGGGGCCTCACACACAGTGCACCGGCTAATGTAAGCTTGTATCTCGTCTTCAGAGAGGGGCATCATGGGTAGAGGAGCAGCACTTGACAGCCAATAGGATTTGTCATTCCTTCTGGCATAATGGCAGACTTGGTTAATGTTGCAATAGGCAAATGGCATGGTGCTAAACATTGGAAGGCAGGATCCGGCAAGACCTAGGAATAAGAATATTCCAATGTTCTTTCTCCGTGAACATTCCCAGCATATTAAGTGATCTTTAGGAAAGAGGAGACCCCAGGGATTATTTCTGGCATAGCTATGGCCCTTGACTGAGAGATACAATTTTGGGGGTTAATGAAATTGTGGTATAAGGACCACTGCTTTTTTTCATGATTTTAATCTTAAAGGTTTAGAGCGAGAAAAGACCCCAGAGGCCATCTGGTCCAAATCTTTAATTGTACAACTGAACTCATAATGTTCTGGTGACCCAGGTCGAGTAGGCACAAGACACAATGAGATCATTTCATGTCCTTCTTTGTATTTCTCCATACCATTCTCCGAAGTGATCAAGTGTTGGGGATACTAAAAACTGTTGCTTTGAACCTTGTACTGTCTTGCAAAACACTATTAACCAATACCAAGAAACAGTCATGTTTCATCCTCATATCAAGGCTTTGAAATATGAAAAAAATATTGCCAAGTTGGCTCAAAATTTGTCTTCTATGTAGCTACATAAGGTATTGCCTTTAAGGTGTGCACCACTGTGTACACTACCTCAATGCACATCATTTCATGAAATAATTTTCTATTTTAAATAAAACACTTTATATTTAGACATAACATTACTATTTTCAAATACACTAGAGTGGCACTTGACAGCCAATAGGACTTTTCGTTTCTTCTGGGAAGAAGAAAAGGTTAAGAAAGGGAAGGGAGAGAAAAGAAAGAATTATGCAAAAACAAATCAAAGAAATGAAAACATATGTGCAACTAAAAGTTCAAAAAGTTTTATGTTTTATTATAGTACATATTTGTAAATTAATTGATTTGATTCTTATAAAAATATACCAATATATTAATATCCACAGATTCAAACAAAGATTCTGCTATAAAGGCTCACCTAGGTCTTGGTTATGTGCTTTCTCCTGACCTTCCAGATACAGCAGACTATATCCAGTCCACAGCTTGGGCATTCCCTCAGGGCAAGAGGGTTCTTTGTCTGTCTGACTGTGGAGAACCAGTAGGAATCCATTAAGGTATCTAGTTCCAGAACCTTTGGGTCCTGGATCCCCAATCGGGCCAGGGGGACCTTGTGGTATAAAGGGAAAAAAAATAAAGGCAACCTAGGATGTTTAAACAAGTAATGGTTATTTCATTTATGTAACAGAATAGTGCTACTCTAGTGCATGACCACCATCATCCCCCCCACAAGCTGATCTCTGAGCCTTTGATTCACGTCAAGTCAAGACATCACCCTGGTGATAACATTGGTCCTCTTTGAAAACAAAGGATGAACAACAATAAAAAAAAAGCGGTTCTTAACGTTTTAGTTGCAAGTCTCAACTAAAATCTTACCTTTTATGAGAAGCCTTTCCTAGTCCTCTGTGATGCTAACGCCTTCCTTGGGACTTTATCCTGTCTCTATCTTGTTGTTTGCAATGTCTCCCCTACCCCTACTCGCTACTAGACTGCAAGTTCCTTGAGGGGAGAAATTATTTGCCTTTCTTGGTATCCTTAGTGCTTAGCACTGTACCTCGTACATAATAGACACTTAATAAATACTTGTTGACTTGGTTTTGGGCAGTATGATGAACTCTATTGTCCACTCTTCAGAATAATGCTTTTTAAAAGCATTAAATAAAGCACATGGAATTACAAAGAAAGACAAATATCTTTAAATATAGTTATAAAAATGTTTTTTTAAGTTCACAACCCCAGGTTAAGAATCCCTGTCCTATAATAAGACATTGTCTTCCATTGTCCTCCAATTCAGCTCACTGAAGATGCCCACATATATAATCTGTCATTATTATAAGAGCCCCTGCTTTATGTGGGAATTCAAGGGGGTTTGTTTCTTTTCATGACCCCTTTTGGGATTTTCTTGGCAGAGATACTAGAGTAGTTTGCCATTTCCTTCTCCAGCTCATTTTACAGATGAGGAAACTGAGGCAAACAGGATTAAGTGATTTGCCTAGGATCACACAGCTAGTCGGCATCTGAGACCAGATTTGGACTCAGGGAGATGAGTCTTCCTGACTCCAAGTTGGCACTCTGTGCGCTATGGCACCACCCAGCTGCCCCAGGAATTCAGTAAATATCAGGAATAGGGAGTACTTGGAGATTCTGTGGTTATTCCAGTGGCTTTCTTCCTTTCAGGAGAATTAACAGATAGAGCAGCTATCCCAAATGCAATCCCAGTCCCTAATCCCAAAAGCCCCAAAGTGATATCAGTGCATTTTATTTGTATTAGTCTTGCTTCTTACACAGATTCTGCCTACAAAATAAGCTCACATCTAAATAATTCATTGCCATTTACAAAGTCCTTTCTTCATAATGACTTTGTGAGGTTGGGAGTTCCAACACTGCTATTCCCATTTTATGTTTGAGGAAAATGAGGCTTAGAGAATTTAGGGGACTTGCCCATTATATAGTCAGAAAATATCAGAAGCAGGACTTAAACCCAGGTCTTCTGATTTTGAATCTACCAGTACCATCTCGCCTATTGAAACCACCAAAGGTGTTGGTTTGGTACAATAGAACGACACACACACACACACACACACACACACACACACACACACACACTGATTTTGGTCTAGACCCGTGATTTCATCAGTGTATTCCCTCCACTAATGCCAACTGGCAACTCCTTTGTAATTTATAATCTTAGAGAGTTCATGGGGACACCGAGAACTTGAATGATTTTCTAGGGTCACGCAGCTAATACATGGTTATAGCTGTAGAGCTATAAGAAACCCAAAAGGTCACCTTGGCCCAAGGCGATTTAGTAACTTGCCCAACATCACCCAGGTAGTAGACATCAAAGGTAGGATTTGAACTCAGGTCTTCTGCCATAAGAGCCCCTGCCCTTTTCACCACATCACACTAACACAAGTTTTCTTTACTCCGAGGCTAGTCCTCTCTCTTTGCTTTATTTTGTTGTGCTATATTAATAAGAATGAAATGTGAAAGCTAAAACAGTTGGTTTAGAGGCATAATCATACAATTATCCTGTTTGGGGAAAAAAGCACAGCAATACCTCATGTTTCATGCTTTAAAAGCTTTTTTCCAATTTTCACTGCATATATTTTCATTCTGACTCAGAAAAGAGTCCTTTATTCTATGTTTGTTCCAAGGAATATTTTAATACTTAAGAAAAACTTGAGGTGTTAATAAGTACTGGAAACTGGGAGTCAAGGGGATTGAGAATGGTATGGAGAGTTATGGACAGTGACCACTTCTTCAGCATCACCTTCCAATAGCTTTTAGCTAAATTTCTTAGGGTGCGTCATTGCAGACAATGCCAGATGAATTGGCTTTTAATTACGTGGTAAAACGAAAGAGTGATAGAGGTTGAAGACAGACGTATCTCTGGGCTTGCTAATTGGCACAGGGTTTGTAAAACACTGCACTGGATTCAGGGAATCCTTTGACAAGGTTTCATGATAGTTTAGCATCAAGTGAAATTCAGGGAGATCTGTGCTTGTTTTGTTATTGAAACCAGGCTGCCTTCTATCAGGTCATAGAAAATCCAACCCTAGAAAGCTACTTTCATTATAAGAGGTCAGCAATCTAGCTCAGACGAGTCAGATCTACCACACTCATAGCCAAAGTGGACCTTACCTGGTGCACCTCCACAGCCTTCTTCTCCTGGGTCTCCTTTGTGTCCAGGGGGTCCTGGGGGCCCAGGACCACCATCTGAACCTCTTTGGCCATCCACACCACGTTCACCTTTGTGCCCTGCATAATAATTTATATTGTTTAGTCTACATATTGTCTTACATAAAGTTCAGAAGTACAAACCTTCTACGGTCCTGGGTGCCTGGAAAAATACTGCTGAAGTCTCTGGTATTTTCCCATGGATGGGGAAATTAGGGGCTGGGATTGCATTTGGGATAGCTGCTCTAACTCTCTGTTAATTCTCTTGAAAGTAACCCTCTCTAACTTTAATAAGAAAAACCCAGTAACCCATTTCCATGTCCTCTGCCCCCACTTCATCTATTGGACTTTTAGCCAATCTTTAGTCCAACTCCAACACCACTTCCTCCATTAAATCTTTTTTTTTCCCATTAAATCTTTTTAAAAAATAAATTCACTTTTATTTTATAATAAAAATCACCTTATGATACAGTTCATCTGATAGGTTCATCTGATGTGAAATAAACCAAAAATTACATCATTTTAAATAGAATTCATAGAGTTCTATGTTAAAAAAAAAAAGACCCAAAGAACAGAGCTAAGAATTTTAGAGGCAAGCATTTAGGTGGACTGGATGTTTGACGGACTACATGAATATATCTTTCATTTAAGCTGCTTGACAGCTGGGACTATTTCTTTTTTGTCTTTGTATTCCTAGCACTTAGCAAAGCCCCCTTATACAAAGCAGGCAATTAATTATTTCTTGCTGAATGGCATTATTTAAATAGGATGGTTAAAATGTCAAAAAAAATTGTTATTCGTAGATACTAACAGTATCTCAGATGCCTCAAGAAGAATTTAAATATTATGTCATTTAAGTTATTTATTGACTTTGGTCTTTCATTAAGCAAAAAAGATGCAGCTAGTCATTGTTGGTTAATCCCATTTCTTAAAATACATTGGAACATGAGTGTCCTGTTTGGATAAAATATATTTTCAGGAAATGCTCCCCTGAGGTTTAAACAGTTGGGGTGTTGTGTCTGTGTCTGTGTCTGTTTGTCTGTCTCTTTCATTTTCAAGTAATCAATTCAAGTAAGCCACCACCCCAGTTCTACTCTGATAACTCGTCTTGGCATGGAAGTCTCCCTGGGTTCCTAGAAGCTATGTCAGAAGGGTTCATAGTCTGCAGGAAAGCCTCTGAACACAGGTATGGCTATGCCCTTCCAAAGGGCCATATTGGGTCAAACACAATGAATGTCATCATATGTGTGAAAAAGTGAAAAGTACTGTCTTTCTTTTCCTGATGATCTCAGTCAAGGTCTTGCTGGTGACTTTGCTGTTTCAAAATTGGAACGTTCCTATTTCCAAGGAGCAAATCCTAAGGCACAGTGCATGATCTCGGCTGGTCGTTCTGCCTTTTAGCTTCCTCCATAATAAGCTCCCGCTCTTGAATCCTCACACAGAAATTTGTTTTGCAATCAATCAATCAGCGAGCATGTTTCAAGCCCTTACTATATTGCGCTCATCATGTAAAACAAGTATTCTAAAGACTTGACTATACAACTCCACGTGATCCAGCCTTATCTAAACTCTGAACTTTCCCCGGGGCCTAACACAGTGTGTCTGCACGTGGTAGGTGATTAATAAGTGTTTGGTAAATGAATTAAAACCAGTGGTAATCTCCACACCAGGAATGGTGTAAGGGTATGGATTATAAATCAAGTGTGGGTCAGGGTAAATTGGGAAAATGAGCTAATCCAAAGGTTCAGATAGAATTTGAAGATGAGGCTTAGTATATAGGTCTGAAACTAAAGCGTAGATCACTACTATTCTCATTTACAAAATGGGGTAATTATAACTAGAGCACATCATTTAACTTTGCAGAATGGATAATGGATGTAAAGGGCTTTGCAAACCCAAGGTACTATGTAAATGTCAGCCGTTATTATTATGCAACAATACGGAATGAGAAGCTAGGAAAGTGTAGAGTTACGTGGGGTAGGAGAGTGATGTGGGGATCAGGGTAGTCAAGGGATGAGCCTTAAAGTAGGGTTAAGAGCACACTCTAGGTAGGAGCAATTAGAAGAAAACACATTTTTAGTGCGATCAGGAATGAGGTAAGTAGGGGGCATAATAATGCCCAAATGGTTCAGAAATGATGTAAGAGCAAAACCATTATCTATAAGGGTGAGATTTGTAGATGTCACATTTTAGGAAGAATATTGGCAAAATGAAACCTGTTATTCAGTTTGACTTTAGTTGGCCCCAGAAAGCCTAAGAGCAAGATGTCTTTGTGAGCTATTTTGGCGAAAAGAGGAAGATCCAAACAAATGGACAGGACTAATGTTTGGGGAGGGTGGGGCAGTGGTAACTGACAACAGAAAGAAGATAAAATTGCTCAACTGTTGTTTTATTTCTGTTTTCACTGCCATCGAGAATGATTTGTGGATCATTGGAATGGACGGGAAAAAAATAAGAAATGACTAATAGAGAGTGAACATCTGAAACAGTTAAGAACAGAGTAAGAGAGATCACCTAGCCACCATGTGTCCAGATACTGAAAGAACTGGCAGATATGATGGACAAGTCATTGCCAGAGATTTTTGAAAAACTCTGTTGAATAGCAGAAGCACACAAGGCTGGAAGAGGGCAGGTCTATCCTAATTTTCAAAAAAAAAGGAAAAGAGATACAATTCCATAAACTATAGGCTAGTGAGCTGAACCATTTTTACATACAAGTGGCTAGATGACACAGCCGATAGAGTCAGGAAGACCTGAGTTGAAATCTGGTCTCAGGTATTTACTAGCTATGTGACCCTGGGCAAGTCATTTAACCCTGTCTGCCTCAGTTTTCTCACTGTAAAATGGGAATAAAAATAGCACCTACCTTCCACGGTTGTTGTGAGGACAAAATGAGATAACCTTTGTAAAGCATTTTGCAAACTTTAAAAAGTTGCTATGTTTATGTTAATGCTACTACTGCTGCTACTACTACTACTACTATATCTCTTCCACTGCAATTTTTTGGAATTCCCTTCTATTACTTGTTTGATTTCTCTGGACTTGTTTTTGGGATGTCCAGTATCTCCCACTAGATTACATTAATTTCCTCTTTTGTCAGTACAGTGCTTTGTATGGTGGGGCTGTCCTCAGTCGTCCTGATCTACGTCTTGCCACTGGACCCACATGGCTCTGGAGGAGAAAGTGAGGCTGGGGACTTTGCACAGCCCTCCCTCCTTTCCTCAAATCCAATTCAATTGCAAGTTATGTCATCATCTTCCTGATGTCACGGTCCTCTTTAGGAATAAAGAACAAACAACAACAATGCCAACAGGCCTTGTATGGTGTGGCAATGTGCCCCTTCAATAAAATTAGAAAATGATCTCCTTAACATCTCCCCTTTTTAGTAGACATGTAAAAACAATTTCCCTTCCCTGGATTATATGGAGAGCTATTCCATTCAGCTTAATGCAATGAGCTTTCTTAAGTACCCGTCAAGTGCCAGGGACTGAGGTGGGTGATGGAGAGAGGATAGGGACAATGACCACACCTGTGATTTCACTGGCACAGAGAACTCCCTGGTGGGGCAGCTCCCTCTACCAATGTAGTTCATCACATTATGGGCAACTTAGAGACTTACAGAGTTGACCAGAGCGCTGAGAGGTTAAGTAATTTGTCTGGGGTCACAAAGCCAATATGTGTCAGAGGTGGGGCTTGAACTCAGGTCTTCCTGACTTCAAGACCAGTTCTCTATCTACTATACCAAGTTACTTCTACTGGCAATGCAGATACAAAGATCACTGCCTTCAAGAAGCTTACCTTATGCTGGAAGAAACAACATATGTGAACGTAGGTATATACAACATATATTCAGAGCAAATAAAAGGTAATTTGGGGAAGAGGGGAGATGGAGGACCCACAACCGGGCAGAACAACTACAGTAAAAATGGCACTTGAGCTAAACCTTAAAGGAAGCTGGAGATTCTTCAAAGTGAAGGGGAGGAAAGAGGGCATCCCAGACATAGGGGTAAAGGCAGAGTCAGGAGGTGTACAGGGACAGCATATAAGGATTTGGGCTGAAGGTGCTCACTGCACTCACATAATACAAAGTTTCCATTTACTTTGAGACAGAGAGCTGGGAAGGAGGGGAGAGGGAGAGGAGGTTCCCTGGAAGTTATCAAAGCATCAATGTTTCTGTATTGCCCAAGCTGTAGTCCCTTGAGGACGTGCATGTTTCTCGATCAGTGTGCCTGAACTCTGAACTGTGCAAGAGGGGCAGTGGGCTTGACCCATTTCCCTGTGTTATTGCAGAGGCAGCAGGTGGGCTTTCTGGTATATATGTTTGAAGAGCTCGTTATCTATGGAGTTGGGGAAAAGTTCCCACACCAGATGTTATAATGTGGGCTTTGTTCCCTTCAGAGAAAGACAGAAAGAAAATTGTCAGGCTGAGGATGTTGCCTTAGAGACAGGGAAAAAGGTTCCCGTTCATCTGAGTTATCTGCTGGGCTCTTTACACTGCATTGATGAGATATGTGATGGGAAGGGTTTTTTTAATAGAGTGAAATAACATTTAGCAACCATCCTGCGTGACATGTGATTATCTTCTTTGAGAGAGTCAAGTGGCCTGGCTTGAAAAAAAAGGCAAAAACAAACATAGCTGCCAGGGTCTAGGAGCTTACACGAAAGCAGCTTTCTATTCAGAATGAGAGCCGTCAGATTCCTTCACCATAGGAACAGAGAGCCCAGCTTCTCTGGCCACCTAGGAATTCCAGGCAATTCACAGGTACAATGAGGTTAGTGCAATATTGTTTACAGGATCATAGGATGGATTAGTCAATCAACCAGCATTTATTATGCATCTGCTATGTGCCAGTCATGAGGGAAGCCACGTAGCACAATGTATAGTATACTGGGCCTAGAATCTGGAAGGCCTGAGTTCAAATCTGGTCTCAGACAGTTACTAGCTATGTGATCTTGGGCAAGTCACTTAACCCCTGCTTGCCTCAGTTTCCTCATCTGTAAAATGAGGATAATAATAGTAGCTACCTCCCAGGGTTATTGGGAGGACCAAACGACATAATAATTATAAAGTACTAAGAATAGTAATGCAGGGAACATAGCAAGTGCTACATAAAAGTTATTATTTTTTAAAATATAGTTAATACTAGTAGTTTTAATAAGGTTTCTATGTTACAAATCTCTAAATAGTCATTCAAATTTAGCCTGGTGCATAGTAAATGTGAGCTTCTATTATTATATGTGCCAGTAGTGCTCTGGGTCTTGGGGATACAAAGATAAAAATGATACGGTCCCTGCCCTCAAGGAGCTTACATTCTACTGGGGAGAGAACATGTATATATACACAAATATTCAAAATAGGTATTAGGCCTTTGGGGATATGGGGGATGGGGGTTAGCTGATAGGACAAAGAGAAAAAAGGATTCAAGGGGAGAGGTGGCAGTTCAGCTAAATTTTAAAGAAAATTTGAGGTTCTATGGGGTAGGAGTGAGAAGGTATATTTGAGGCATGGAAGGCAACCATTACAAATGTGCGAAGACGAGAGGACTGTCGCCCATGAGGGACAAAACATATCTAGTGCCAAAAGGGACTTCGGAGATCCATTTCCCTCATTTTACAGATGGAGAAACTGAGGTCAAGAGATCATGTGACTTGCCCAAGGACACACAGATGGAAGATCTGGGATTTGAATCCAGATCCTTTAACTCCACAGTCATTACCTTTCCCACTGAAATCTCTTTACCATGAAATCTCAAAGAAGATACTTTGAAGGTATTAAGGACAAAAAAAGAAAACTGAAACTGAACACTATCATTATAAAGATCAAACTTGGTTCCAGAGAAAAGAAGGGAAAATGCCCCTTCCTTCCTCTGCCGAGGTAGGAAATCATGTGCATGGAACATCACACACACTGTCAGACTCAGTTGCTGTGTTGGTTAATTTTGTCTGCCTTTTTTTTCCCCTCTTTTTAATTTTTTTTTTAACAAGAGATTGTTCCTTGGGTAGGGAAGAAGGAAAAGATGTATTTATAAAGGAAGGTGATATTCAAACAAAGAGCATGAATATAATTTTTAAAGGCATTAAGTATTTTCAACATATAAATAAAGCAGTTATGTTTTAGAGACACCATATACAATGTATACTAAGAAGAAAATAAGGACCTCAGAAATTCACTTAATGAAATGAGAAGTATAGATTGTATACTGAACACAGTGACTGATGAAGGAGAAAGATTATTCTGATTACACTAACAACAAAAGACTTTTCCATGCATCTTCAAAATCAGAAAGTTACAAAGAGAGGAGAATTCCAAGAAAAGAAAAACAAAACAAAACAACTTTTGGCTCAATCACCAGTACTGTGTGTTGGGGGGAAAAAAAAGGAAGTTACTTTAATAAGCTTCCAATTATCTATGTCCGTGGATGGGCAATATGGCAGAAATAGCTTAGATGGGAGAAGGGGGAAAAATGCAAAAAAAATACCAAGGGCCCCAGTGAATGGAAAGAAATTGGATGCTTCCCAAATATTGCTGACGCTCCAACAGAGAGAGGCATCTCCTGATGATCCCAGCTCAGCCACTTGGGGTGGTGGGAAGATGAGAGAAACAGGTGCTATAGAACTGAGTTACACTTCCAATGACGTTGGCTTGGGACCAGATAGAGCCAAAGGCACAGCTGTGCTTCAGGGGAAGCTGATGCGGAAATGGCGTCAGTGCCCATTTGGGTAATTCACACGTGGATTATTAGTAGGCGGCTGTGCTGTGAAAATTAGTCCAAGGAGGCCAGTAACCTCTGAATTAATCACCTCCAACTCTCTCATTGTTTCCTCCATGTCTGTGAGGCTGGAGGAAATTAAGGCAAGCAGGACCACTTTGGAGATGGTACTCCTGGAGGAATAGATGAGCTTCAGGATGAAACTGGGGAAAATTCCATGGAAGCAACTATTTTACAAATTTCAGATTATATAAAATAAACAAATAAATGTGTATATACCTATATATGTGTATATGTGTGTATCACACACACACACACACACACACACACACACACATATATACACACTTTCTTTCTCCCTGTCTTTCTCTCTCTTTCTCTGACCCCGTCCTTGTCCTTCTATTCTAGGACAGGATTGAAAACCAGAAAGGAAAGTCACCCAGTCTTAAGTTGCACTGCACCAGTAGACTCCTTGAGGACAGGGGTGTTGATATTTCTTTTGCTGTCTTTGTACCCCCGGTGCCTAGCACACATTGCTTTTCTCCATTGCCAGCACTTAATAAATATGAAATTGATTTAAATTTCCTTCTTTGTCCCTTCCCATTGCTCTTTTTCTACTCCATTCCTCCCCAATGATGTATTGAAGTCTAAAGTGCAGTGTTGTTTTATCTCAAAATCAAATCAGCAGATATGTATTGAGTACCTGCTCTGCATAAAGCACAGGGCTGGGAGCTCTAGTGAATGCAGTAGCGTGTAAGAAATAGTCTTTTCTCCTGAGCTTGACGTCTAGCTGCAGAGATAATATTTGAGCATTTGACAGTTTAAACAACAACAGATTTAAATAACAGTTCACAAAGGAAGAGTAGAAGAGATGCCACAAGGTAGTACATGTGACTAGGAATAATAATAATAATGATAATAACTGATGGAGCACTGAACTTGTAGTCTGGGTCTGCGCTGGGAGGTACAATGGACCTGGAGTCAAGAAGACCTAGATCGGAATCCCACCCTAAATACTAACTAGCTTTGTGACCCTGGGCAATAATAATAATAATAATAATAATAATAATAATTTATATAGTACCTACTATGTGCCAGGAACTATTCCAAGTGCCTTATAATTATTATCTCATATGATCTTCACAATGACTCTGGGAAATATGTGCTATTATTATCCCCATTTTACAGATAAGGAAACTGAAGCAAGCAGCGGTGAAGTGATTTGCCCTGGGTCACTCAGGCTAGATTTGCTCTCATGTCTTCCTGACTCCAGGCCCAGGACTCTATCCCCTTCACTACCAAGCAGCCACATCTATAAAATAAAGGGATGGGGTCAATGGTCTTTACGATCCTTTCTAGCTTTAAATCTATCACCCCATGTAACCCTTTAAGGTTGCAAAATATTTACGTACATTATTTCATTTGATTCCCACAATGACCTTGGGAGGTAGATGTTATTATTATCCCTATTTTACACATGGGGAAACTGAGGTAGGCAGAAGTTAAGTAGTTCTGCCAAGGTTAGAGATCTGGTAAGCATCTGAGGTTGGATTAGAATTTTGGTCTTCCTGACTCCAAGTCTAGTGCTCTGTCTACTGGGCCACCCAGCTGCCTCTTTCTATGATTTCTTCAAAACTCAGTCCTTTGTTTCCCCATTTCTGATTGACACAGTACAATTATGAGCAGTCTTTGCATCAGTCATACCTGGTGAGCCTGGAGGACCTCGTTGTCCTGGGTGCCCCATCTTCCCTTCTGGTCCTCTTGGGCCTGGAACTCCTGGAAGTCCTGGGATTTTGGGGCATGAAGAAGTATCTGCAGGTGGGCCAGGATCACCTGAAATATGGGGTAAAATTCTTTCATGAAACCACATACAGATGGTCAAGCATTGTCTAGTTATCAATGATATCAGGTTTGAATTTAACGAGAATGTTCCACATATCATGTAGAACATGCCTGCCTAATGGATTTAAATGTGTGAGATATTTCAGGGAGGGGGGGACTTTAGGGCTACAAGGTTTGGGCGACCCTCAGAGCATGCCCAAGTTCTCCCCCCCTGTGAATTCACTGTGGTGCCAGCTGCAAGGGGCAGAAGAAGAGAATCTGGCCAGCCCCCGAAGCTGGCTCAAATGTCTTCCTAATGCATTACTGTAAAATTGAATCTGGTGTGTCTGCATGGTTTAATTTATTCTGATGGGTGAGAATTTCAAGATCTCGCAAGGCTCAAATTTTTTTCTTTTCAGTTACATTTAGAATACCTTTTTTTAAAGCTTCATTCTACTACTTCATAGTTTCCTAAGAGGTAAGAATGTCGATGGGAACTGGGTATAGATACATGCATACATAGTTATAGATACCTCTATATCTATATGTTTTTGTTTTGCTTTGTTTTGTGGAATAACTTTTTATATTTCTTTAGATAGCTTAAAATAGAACCCATTTATTATTAAGATGTATCACAGAGTATGTGGCCTTTAAATGACACATATTGACATAAATTATTTTTTAATCCATTGGTTATGCAGTAAATTGGCTATGCAGTCTTTGTTGTTAGGACAATAAATAGTTACCTTCTAAGAGAGTAGATTACAAGGTAATCATGGAAAGACTACTGGCCCAAGAATCAGAAGACCTAGATTCTAGGCCCATCACCAGCCCTTATTGATTTATTTTGGGGAAGTCATCAACATTCTGTAAAATCAGGGTAAAAATGTTTCCTTTGCTTATCTCATAGGGTCATTGTGAGAATCAAATAAAAGATGTGAAAGGGATTTGAAAACCCTTGTGGAGAGTGTAGCACAAATGTGATGCAGAATTATTATCTAGACATTATGAAGCCGAGTATAATTATTGTTAAAATTTAAGACGGGTCAGATGTAGTGGAAATGCCTATGACCCCTACTACCAGGAAGGCTGAGGCTGGTGGATGTTTTGAGTTTAGGAGTTCTGATCTGTAGTAAAGCTAATGCTGATTAGGCATCTGTACTAAATCCAACACAAATCTGGTGAGTCCCCAGGAATAGTGGGACCCACGATGGCTAAGGAGAGATTAAATTTCTCAGGATGGAAACAAAGCAGGTTAAATCCTCAATGCCAATCAACAGTGGGATCAGGCCCATAAATGGCCACTCTACTTCCAGCCTGGGCAAGATAGAGAGATCCGGTTTTGGAAAAAAGGAAAGAAGGAATGGAGGAAGGAAGGAAGGGAGGGAGGAAGGAAGGAAGGGAGGAAGGAAGGAAGGAAGGAAGGAAGGAAGGAAGGAAGGAAGGAAGGAAGGAAGGAAGGAAGGAAGGAAGGGAGGGAGGGAGGGAGGGAGGGAGGAAGGAAGGAAGGAAAGAAGGAAGGAAGGAAAGAAGGAAGAAAGGAAGGAAGAAAGAAAGAAAGAGAAAGAAAGAAAGAAAGAACCAGAGAGTAGGAGAAAGAAAAAGAAAGAAAAAAGGAAGGAAGGAAAGGAAGGAAGAAAGAAAAAGGAAAGGAAGACAGAAAGAAGGAAAGAAGGAAGGAAGATGATCAGTGAATAAATACCTAGATGATGGAGGGAGGGAGGGATGGATAGTTAGATAATAAAATGAAATATAGGAGGGGAAGGTCCAGACTTGTGATTTCATCAGTCTGGAGAATTCTTGCCATGAAATGTCCCTCTAGTGGTGAAGATTAGCAGCTTCTCTGTTGCCAATTTAGTCTTAGAGTGGTAGACAAATACTGACTGATCCGAGATCATACAGTCACCATTTGTCAGATACAGAACTTGATCTCACATCTTCCTGACTCTAAGACCAGTCCTATATCCACTACTCCAGAGGGTCTCCCATCTCTTTAATCAAGCATGACAAAACTAATAACCTAGTGGTGGTGATGTATGGAAATTGTAAATGAATCTGAACCTGGCTCAGTGTATTACTCCCTACTACTTGTATGCTACTGAGCAAGTCATTGAGTTTCTCAGGCCTTCAGTTTCCTTCTCTTACTAAGATGGGATTGGTTTAGGATCTAAGTTTCCTTCCAACTCTAAGTCCTTTGCTCCTGTGACACTAGCACATAAATATTCCACTTATCACATTTCTTAGGTCTTTATTTGACCCCAAATAGTTTCTAATGTCACACTTTGTCCAAAAACTTCAGGGCACAAAATGTTTAATAGGGCTGTGTAAAATGGACTCTAATTTGTGAGTATAGTGGTAAATACCAAGGAAACTCCTGAAGTTCTGCCAATCTTCAAGGAAAGTTAGAAATTTAACCCCTTGTAAAATGGGGTATAATCTTTCACCACAAAGAATTCAAGCAGACTGCTTTTATGTGGTTTGGACAAATGGTTTACACTCTGGGTCTTTTCCACGATAGTTAATTTGAGAAATGCACATGTAAACATTTCATATTTGCATTGCAAGGACATAGAGGGCAGGGAGATTTCATTGTGGCCAATGATCAGGGGACTGGATAGGACCAACACAAACATTATATTTTCCTTTTCTTTTGTAGAGAAATACTCTATTAAAGGAGTTAAGGATAGTTGAGGGATATTAAAAATCTTCTCTTTGTCTTTATAAGGTATAAAATGAATAAACATACAAAAAGAATCACGGAAAAAGTTTTAAAAAACTAAGAAACTTGCCAGTATTCACAAATTAAGTAATTGGAGAGGAAAAGCTTGTTATATTTCCTTCAAAGGGCTTAAGGGATATTCTTTCCAAATTGTTGATACTTCTTATTTTACGGATGCTCAAATTATTTCTGTTGAAGAGACTATTAAAGAAACTTCCACCAATATGTAAGGTAGAATTTGGCTCAAAGCCACATCCTCATAATTCTCATTCAAAATGATTTAAGCCGGATATACATCTCTGCCCACTTGACAACCTATAATGAGACCCCATGTGATGGCGTTATAATATAAGGTTGCCATCTCTGTAACTAGCATGAAGCCACATTAAAGTCTGTTATAACTACAACAACTCATCAACCAAGACAAAACCTTCAAGTTTAGCTCATAAGCAAAGAATGAAGACAAATAGAGTATGGGAACTAGAAAACCAAGAGACCAATTGTGCCCCACATAAAGCATCGCTCACCTCGGCAACCTGGAGGCGTCAAACAGCACAACCCAGATCATGCGACATTTTCATGCATTGTGAAAGAGATTTTAGATTCATGAATTAGAACACATGCAACAAATATCCAAGAACTCATTTGAGAATCTATCAATCTATCATTTGGGACAAGATTAATGACAAAAGACATCACATCAACTGCTTCATTTAACTTAAAATAAAAAAGATGACAGAAACATTATTGGCAAGTCCTTTAACTGATATAGTTGATAAAACTACTGAGAATCAGGAAGTACAGTTCTTGTGAACAGGGTGTCTAGGTGTCTGCTCTGTGCCAAGTGGGATCAGTTTACCATTGAGAGGAATTGGGCTGAGCTGCACTCATTTGACAATCTAAGATTCTTTTTGCTAAGCTTTGTAGGGGATGCAGAGAAAAGGGGGAGATATATATATATATACACACACATATATAAATTTAAAAACCCCAAGGCCACAATTATCATACACATGCAAGAAGGTCATAAAACAGTCTAGCATCTTGGGTAGAAATTGTTCCTCAAACTCCAAAGACCAAAGGGATTCAGAAATGAGTGTTCTGGGACATGGTACTTCTGGAGATCTCAAATGTGTCTTCCATTTCACCCTCTCTCCTGACTTATTCTAATCCTATGACCAGACTATTTCAGCAAATTCCAAAGCCTGTTTCTTTAAAGAAAATAAATATACTTTGTCCCAAAACAGTCCTCAAAACCCCTAAACAAAAAAATCTGGAAAAGTCGATACAGACACAGGTATCCAACATTATTAAAATATACAAAAGCAATGCACAATAATATAATTCATCAAAACTTCTTCCTTAGCAGAGGTGAACCTTTTGCTAAGAATGTATGCTAATTTTAAATAAATATTATAAAAAGTGTCTAAAATATAATATTACCATTCAAATTATATAAACATATACACATTTTTTTTTAATGAATCTTCTACATTGTACATAAGAACACATGTTGGCTATTTGCTATCTCTGTGAATTTCTGCAGACCAACCTTTCATGCCAAGAAAGCTTTGCTTTCTCATTTTGGCCTGTGGAATCTTTCTATTCCCTCAAGGTTCTGCCTAGGTGCAGGTCTGTTCATGAAGCCTTCCCCAATCTGCCACAGCGAAAATGTTTGCTTCTATTAAAACTTCTTAGAGCACTTTGTCTAGACTTCTCCTTTACTCCTATAAAACTTCATGTATGATATTTATGTATATGGCATATCTTACCCACCACCCCTTCCCTCCTTAGCCCAGGAGATGGTAGACTCCTAGGAAGCAGGGACTTTATAATTTTTTATTTTTAAATATGTCAAGCCTAGCACAGTATATTGACAAATACTAATGATTAAATAAACATTTGTTGAATTAATGGATTTCATCTTTTGATGGTACTCAACTCAGTTAGTCAACAAGTATTCATTAAGGGCTTACTATATGCCAGGCATCATGCTAAGCTCTGGGAATACAAAGAAAGGCAAAAACATGGTGCCTGTCCTCAAGGAGCTCATATTTAATAGGGATAACAACACGCAAATAATTCTGTACATCCAAGATATATTCAGAATAGATGGATCTCAGTGGAAGCTACTAGCAGTTGGGTATTTATAAATAATTGGGTATCCCATGCATGAGGATTAATTAAGGAGCTTAATATGAAATGCAATACTTATAACCGGAAGAGACATCATTCTCTAGACATTTAATGTTTCCTAGTGATTTTAGAATAAGAAACTATTATCATAAATGTTTAAACAAAAGTCTCCATGTCTGAGCTGTTCCCTGGAAACAAATAGACATTATAATGAGGATTACCTGGAGGACCAGGGGGACCAGGTCTCCCAGGAGGTCCTTGCAAACCTTTATCACCATGTGGGCCAGGAAATCCAGGTGGACCTGGAGGCCCAGGGTACCCCATCAGCCCTACAAGGAATGTGACAATCAACAAATCTAATTTTCAAACAAGATAAATAAAATACCAACTTTGAATCACTAATGTCAAGAATGCTTAGATTGGAATAAAAATCAGTCTATGAATCTAGCTTATTATCAGTTACTTTTTTTTCCCTCTAAGGTAGAGAAGGCTAGATTCTCTGATGGAATCAATCAGATTCTCCGACTGATGGAGAGACAGTAATAAAACAGAAGGACAATGGATGGTTTAGCCAATAAGAGCTGATTTAAACAGCAAGACCAGTGTAATCATAGGTCATTCTCTAGAGACATTCAAAGAATAGGAGCAAAGGGGAGTAATGAAGGATATAGGGAGAGCTAGATTTGTGAACTGATGATCATAGAAGACATTCTTAGATTTTATAGGCCATAGTATAGACCATAGTGTTCTAAGAAATCTGTGAAACCATTAAAAATGTGATTTGGGCCAACTTCTGCCAGTGAATAAATTCCTGAGAGTATTCAGAAATTCTGGAGAACTTAATTTACCCCTGTAAACCATATTAATTCTTTCCCTATTAAAGTACTACTCAGCACTTCGATGCCTTGGACTAAGAGTCCAAAGACTAGGGTTTTCGTACTGGTTCTAGACTAATTAGCTATATGATTTGGGTAACTTATTTAGCCTGAGTTCTAGTCTTTGCAAAATGCTACTACATGATTTATGAGGTCATTTCCATTTCCAAAACATGAGGAGTCTAGTAACTTAATGAAATGTGAGTGGCCAGAGTTACTAAAATATTAAAAATGAAGTAATCAATAAATGAAATAAATACTGTGAATTTAAACAATGGGACAAAAGTTGTCCAGTCATTTTTCAGTCGTGTCTGACCCTTTGTGACCCCATTTGGGGTTTTCTTGGCAAAGATAGTGGAGTGATTTGCCACTTCCTTCTCCAACTCATTTGACAGATAAAGAAACTGAGGCAAACAGGGTTGATTGACTTGCCCAGGGTCACACAGCTAGTAAGTGTCTGAGGACAGATTTAAACTCGGGAAGATGAATCTTCCTGTCTCCAGGCCCGGCACTCTATCCACTGTGCCACCTAGCTGTAGCCAAATGAGCCTACTGCATGATGATTTTTTGAAAATACAGTAAATGGCAATAGTTTTAAAGGCACAATCAGATATATAAGTATGTCTACTTTTCCTCCAGGCTTGGTTCTGCCAACTTGTAATGCAATAAATGGCAATACTTTCTCAGATTTCCTAAGATTAATTCTTATGTATCTATATCTATATCTATATCTATGTCTATAAATACTTGAAGACTTTTGGGCACTAAACAGAACAACAGTAAAGCTTTTGGATTTTGGTGATTTCATTGATACAGAAAAGTCGTGATGAGGAAACTCCTCTACTATGGCAGGTTGGCACTTGCTCTGTGATTTCAAGATTTAGAGAGCTGCTAAAGTGAAACTTAATTAGTTATTATAGAAAGAAGAACTTTGATTCATACCTTTCTGGCCATCTTTTCCTTCACATCCTGGAAAGCCTTTGGCTCCTGGAGGTCCTGGTGGACCCTGTGGTCCAGGTGGACCTGCTTGACCATGATCACCTGGATCTCCTTTCAGGCTATCAAAACTGCATGGAAGACCTGGTGGTCCAGGTGGACCTGACCAAAGAGAATAAGCAAAAAGTTCTTTGAACCAACTATAAGACAAGTTTAATAAACAGCATCTTAAGGAAATTAATTTCATGAACTCTGAGCTAGAGGAAGAAGGAATTAGTGTGGCAAAGTCCATATGCTGGTAGTGAAAGAGAGACTTTCCACATTACTGTGATTGGAAAATAGTTGAAACATTTTTTTAATCTTTAGGTAATATAAGCCTCACCAAAGGCTCCCTCACCCTCACAGTCTTTAATTTTAGAATAAACATCCTTTGAATTTGGTTTGGATTGTGGTCCCATCGCCCTAGGACTGATACAATACACTCCAAAAAAGCTATTGAGAATGAGTGTCCAACTCCTCGCTTTTCTACTCAAATCTAAAAACATATGCCAAAGTTTGGGGAATTTGAACCCAAATCCTATTCCTGATTAGCAGCTGACATACAGCAAGTTAATTCCTCTCTTTCTGATTTAGTTTTTCTCATTGCAAAATGGAAATAATAGAACTTGCTTGTTTTACTTCTAAAGTACATCAAAAAATCTGGGAAGACTTATATGAACCGATGAACATGAAGTGAGAAGAACCAGACTGTTGATTATTCTGCCATTTACAGTCTTGGAGAGTTGCTTCCAAAGCTGAGAAGTTAAGTGACTTGACCAGGATCACACACCGGAAAGTGTCAGAGGTGAGAACTGAACACAGAGAAAAGCTTTCTATGCAGCAGCACTCTATTCTACCTCTTGTTCTAGATACCTACATAAATATGGATATGGATACAGAAGCTTGTGGAATAATACAAAGAACATTGGGAATCGATATAAGGAGAATTAGGTTCTATTCCAGTTACTTAGGCAGCTAGGTGGTACAGCGGATAGTGTAGTGGACCTGAAGTCAGGGAAGACCTGAGTTCAAATCTGGCATCAGATACTTACTAGCTGTAAGATTCTTTCTCAACCCCTCTTAATTCTAGCATCTTCTCTCTGTTAATTATTTCCTATTTATCCTGCGTATAGCTTACTTTGTATATATTTGTTTGCATGTTGTCTTCTCCATTAGATTGCAAGCTCCTTGAGGGCAGGGACTATCATTCGCTTCTTTTTATAGCCCCACTGCTTAGGACAGTGCCTGGAACATAATAGGCACTTAATAAATGTTTATCAATTGATTGATTGACCCTGGGCAGGTCACATAACCTTTATGTGCTTGGGTTTTCTCATCTCTAAAGTAGGGATAATAATAGCACCTACCTCCCAGGATTGTTGTGAGAATAAAATGAAATAATATTTTCAAAGTATTTTTCAAACCTTAAAGAGCTATATAAATGTCATTATTTATCATTATTATTATTATCATTATTAGTATTATAATTAGAGGCAGCTAGGTGGCTCAGTGGATAGAACACTGGGCCTGGAGTCAGGAGGACCTGATTTCAAAACCAGCCTCAGACACTTACTAACTGTGTGACCCTGGGCAAGGGTCATTTAATTTAATTCTGCATGCCTCAGTTACCTCATCTGTAAAAAATGACCTGGAGAAGGAACTGACGAACCAGTAACTTTGCCAAGAAAATCCCAAACGGGGTCACAAAGAGCTGGACGCTACCGAAACAACTGAACAACAACAACAAAAAAAAATGGCCTAATTTACCATCATAAAAAAAATCAATCTGGGAGGGGAAGACCCTCAGAATTTTTCACCAAAACGATAAAACGATTGCTATTTACATTCATCAGAAGCTATCAAAACCTAAAATATGAGCCACAGAAGCTTGGGCTAGGAGCTGCTACCGGTCATTCAGTGAAGGCCAGAGTGGTTTGGATCAGACTAGATGGCCACAGAGGGCCCTTCCAGGCCTAGGTTGATGGTCCTAAGAATAAGTGCTACAAAGCCATGAAGACAAGAAGAAGATTGGGTTTGGGAGTGGTGGAGAGAGAAACTAACAGACCAACTGACCACCCCCCCCAAACCCATGCTCTCCCTTTAGGCCCAAGACAATGCTTCTGAGGCAAAGCCTCTGCTTGAGGTGAGTGCCTTCAGACTTGAGATCATAGGCAATTCTGGGGATTTGCACACACATTTCAGATAGTCACTTGCTCAAAGATTTCTGTTGTTTCTCTCCTTTCAATAAAACGTAAGGCTATGATATTATAGCCCAAGTGCCAGAGATGAGGGATCAGCTGCAGTAACTAGGGGGAGGGGGATACCAGCATACATCCCCCCAGGTTTTTGAAGTGGGATCTCTAAACCTCCCAAAGATCGTACCCAGGAACTTTGTGTCTTAAGTCTCTGACACAGGGGCTGCAATTCTGTACGTTCAGGTATTCTGCCAGCTCTAATATTCATTAGAAAATGACCGGTTGTGAGACACTTAAGAACTCTAGCTGGTGTTGTTATTAATGTTGGAGCCCACGCAATTCTGTTGGTACCTCTTGGTCCATCGGGGCCAGGGGAACCTTGATCTCCCAGAGGACCAGGGGGAAGAATTTCAACTTCAGGAGTTTTCCCCACAAGACCAGGTAGTCCAGGCAGTCCTGGCATCCCTAAGGAAGTAGATGTTACGTTAAAATTTTACAGTGCTAACCCAATGGAATGTTTGGCATTTTGATTGAGAAAGAAGGAAAAAGAGAGAGAGAGAGAGAGAGAAAGAGAGAAAGGGGGGGAAGAGGGGAAGAGAGAGAGAAAGAGAGAGAGAGAGGAGAGGGGAACAGAGAGAGACAGAGAAAAAGAGAGAGAGACAGAGAAACAGGGACGGGGTCAGGGGGAGAATGTAAGTTCAGAATCTTACCTGGGGGACCTGGGGGACCTCTGTCTCCAGAAAGACCTGGACAAGAAGTTCCAGGTCTTCCAGGATCCCCCTTCTTCCCTTTTAGTCCAGGCAGTCCCATTTGGCCTGGTGGGCCAACTTCGTTTAAACCTTTATACAGAAACAAATGAACAAAAAAACCATGACATGAATACAGTATCATTGTTTCTGTAGAAAAGAGGTTTTTCCCCTGTGATCCTAATTTGTTGTACCTATGATATCTAGAACATCAAGTTGTGGTCAAATACATACATAATACGTGTGTGTGTACAAGTGTGTATGTGTATATGTGTGTGTGTGTGTGTGTGTGTATAGAGAAACAGAGACAGAGAGAAGGAAGAAGAGAAAGAAAGAGAGGAGGGGAGAAACAGAGAAGAAAGACAGAGAAGGAGGAAGGGGTAGAGAAAGAGAGAGGAAAGAGATAGAGAGAGAAAACAGGCAAAACCATTGACATGCCTGGAGAGTCAACAGCCAGATTTTTAATACATTTCATTACTTCCTTATTACCTCCAAGACCAAATATAAACTCTCTTGTTTGACGTTTAAAGTACCTCACAACATGGTTCCCACCTTGCTTTATCTCACCATCTATAGTCTACTCTGTGGTCTACTCAGATTGGCCTTCTTGCTGCTCCTTACATATGGTACCACTTGCATTGACTGTCTCCCAGGCCCAGAAATCTCTCCCTTCTCACTGCCGTCTTTCAGAATTGCTTGCTTTCTTCAAGACCCAGCTCAAGTGCTGCCTTCTCTAGGAGGCCATTCCTGATGCCTCCAGTTGCTAGTACCCCCTCCCCCAAATCATCTTCCATCTGTTTTGTCTATACCTTTACCAGTGTTGTTGTGAGGATGAAGGAGTTTAATATCCGTAAAACACTTAGCCCAATGCCTGGTACACAGTAGGTGCTACATAAACATTAGCTATTTTATCATCGTCATTGTCATTATTACATATACATTGCTCCCTCCAGCTAGACTCTAAGCTCTTTAAGAAGGGAGACTTTTTACTTTCCTCCTTGTCTTCCCAGCACCTGGCACACAGTAGCCACTTAATTAATAAGTGCTTGGTGACTGAGGGATTCCTCTCAGTTCAACCCCTCAGGCTTTTGTTCTTCATTATGGGGATGCGCAGGACCTGCGATTTCACTGGCATAGGGGTCGCCTGGGGAGCACATTCCATCTTCTGATGGAGCTCAGCACCTCGTCTACAACTTAGAGTCTTAGAGAGTTGTCTGGTACACCAAGAAGTCAAGGGATTTGTCCAGGGTCACTTGGCCAGTCAGTATATGTTAGAAGGAGGACTTGAGCTAATTCATTTCCCTACCCAATATTACCACATATCCTCTCATTCCTCTCTATCCTCACGTATTGTGAAAACAGAGAAGTAAAATGTTTTTATATTGGTGACGGCAAGCAAAGTCAGTGCATACCATCTGTCCCTTGAGTGGAACCTCAACCGGCCAGTAAGAAAATTCATTTTTTTTTCAGAAGGATATGAGCTTTATCAAACAACAAGGAAGAGTTATCCATGTTTGTATATATGTTAATGGATGAGAGTAAGCAACAGAGTCCACCTGGCACCAATGCGATGGCCTCACTTTTAGCACTGATTCAAATCTCTACAACTGGTTCTAACAATCTCAACTTGCTGGGTTTTAGGTTACTGCCTTTCTGTCTTTCTTTCTTTCTCTTTCTTTTCTTCCTTCTCCCTTCTTTCCATCTTTCTTTCTCTTTTTTTTTTTTTTTGAAAAATGTTTTTCAGTTAATCAAAAGAGCTGCGGAACAATGGAACAAGCAGAAACACAGATGCTTAAGGTGAGTTTTTTCACAACATGCACAGACACGTGAATGTGAGTGTGAGAGAGACAGAGACAGAGAGAGAGTGAGAGAGAGAGAGAGAGGAGACAGAGACAGACAGAGAGATTAGAGTACAGAAACTCCTCATTCAGGTAAACCAGCAGCAGTTACCACTGTTAGGGATGAGGAGGAGGTTTTGAAAGCTCTAAGTGAGCCCACGTGGCCTCTTAAAAGAGCTACTGCACTTCAAGACAAAAAACAAAACGTCCTACCCAACTCCTGTTTATCAGTTGTTCATGAAATTTTGAAATCTGGTTTTAATTAAATAATTTTACACTGAGCACTTGGGGTAGGTAATAAATCTCAAGGAGGTTCTAATAATACACAGCTTCAAGTTGGACTGAACTTTTCCAAATTCATGGCTAACAAAGGTTTGTTTTTTTTTTTAAATGCTCCTTCATGTAGGTCATTTACAATATCCCCCTATAATTATTTCTGGCACAGTAAGATGATTAACTTAAGCCAGTATGTTATTTAGTCTAATAATGGACAATTTCATTTGTCTTTGTGTCCCCATGCCTAGCACACTGCCTTGCCCACAATAGTTACTTAATATAGACTCACTGAATTAAATTTAATACACATCAAATACAGGGCAACGCTCTATATTGCTCATAATTATGGGGTTTTTTTTCCTTACCTGAACTCCCCTTTGATCCTTTCTGACCCTTGAGTCCTGGCAAGCCATCTAATCCTGGTTGTCCTGAGGAACCTTCAAAGCAGAAGAAACTTTGTTAAGAGTAAATAAAGAGTTAGGTACTAGCGAATGATAACTGAGCAAGCACAATTTACAAAAACATAGGCCAACAGTCTAACATTACCCCAAAGGGCTTGGTCTATATCTATTATTCTTTGAGGTTTGAATCAATAAACATTTTTTATTAAACACAGCTTAAAGTCCAACTGTCTATTAGAAAGCTCTAGCTAGATGTTCTGTAGGCATCCCAACCTCAACATGTCCAAAGCAGATCTCATTATCTTTCCCCCTCAAACCCATCCATCTTTTCAATTTCTGTATTTCTGGATTGGTGTCACTATCTTCCTAGGCACCCCAGGTTTGAAACCTTGAAGTCATCCTCAATACATCTCTTTCCATCAGCCCAGTATCCAAAGCAGTTGTTAAGACTCGTCGATTCTGCCTCCAAAGAATCTCTCACATCCATTCTTTTCTTCATTGATTCAGCCACTGCCCTAATCTAGGCTTCTTGGAACGCTCCTGATGAAATGCAACGGTCTCCAAATTAGCCGCTTTGCTTCGTCCCCTCCCACTCCAATCCATCCTTCCCACAGCTGGCAAAGTGATAATATTAAATCACAGTTCTGACCATGTTCCTCCCCTTATCAGTAGCTTTCTAGTAATTTATTATCTCTAGGATACAAAACACCCTTCTCTCTACTTGACTTTTAAAGCCCTTCACAGCCTGGTTTTAACCTACCTTTCCAAGATTATTTTACATTATTCTCCTTCAAACACATCATGGTTCAGCTGAACTGATCTTCTCACTGTTCCTCACACCCAGCATTCCATCTCCTGTCTCTGGATGTTTGCACAAACTGTGACCCATGCTTGGGATGCATTTCTCCCTCACCTTTGCCTCTAAGAATCCCTAGTTTCTCCCAAAGGTCAGTTCAGAAGTTACCTCCTACATAAGGCTTTACTTGATCTCACAAATACTATAGCCTCCTTACCAAAATTTTATGTATTCAGTGTGTGTGTGTGTGTGTGTGTGTGTGTCTATTAAACACATATTGTCTCCCCCAAAAGAATGTAAAGAAACTTTCTAACAAATCAATCAATAAGCATTTATTTGTTTTGTTTTGTTTGTTTTTTAGGCAATTGGGGTTAAGTGACTTCAGCCAGTAAGTGTCCAGTATTTGGTCTGAGACCGGATTTGAACTCAGGTCCTCCTGACTTCAGGGCTGGTGCTCTATCCACTGTGCCACCTAGCTGCCCCAACAAGCATTTATTAAGCCCTACTATGTGCTAGGCAATGATAGGCACTTGGGATATGAACATATATATATACATATATATATATATATATATATACTGAAACAATCCCTACTCACATATATATATATATATATGCTGAAACAATCCCTACTCACAGTCTTCCTACTACTTAATAATGGGGAAGACAAGTGTGCATAGACATAATAAAGTGAATAAATACAAATAAATACAGAGTATTTGAATCCAAGGTATTTTGAGAAGTCAGTAGCAATTGGATAGCTAGATCAGGAAAGGCTTCATGCAGAAAGTGGTGTGTAAACTGCATCTTAAAGAAAGAGAGGGATTCTGTAAAGTAGAGAAAAGGATGGAGTGCATCCCAGCTATGAGAGATGGCCAGTGCATAGGCACTGAGATGGAGAGTCATGTGTAAGGAAGAAAGAAAAGACAAAGTTAAGGAGGAGCCGTGCCTTATAAGGCTAGAAAGAGAGGTTGGGCAAGATTTGGAAGAGCTTTTTCTGTTATCCTAGAAGTAAAAGGGGGCCACTGAAAGTGACTGAGTAGAGGAGTCAGCTGGTCAGATCCGAGCTTAAGAAAAATTATTTTGGCAGCAGTGGAAGGGTAGGGAGAAATTTGAGGCAGGGAGGTCAGTTACAAGACCATAATCTAGCAAGAGGTGATAAGTGACTGACTTACTTAAGGGCCAGCTGTATGAGTAAAGAGAAGGGGTCAGATACAAATAAGATACTATAGAGGTAGAAACAAGAAAATTAGGCATTGTGGGACTGGATATGTGGGATGGGAGAGAGTGAAGATTCGAGGATAATACCAAACACAGAGAAGACATACCTTTGACAAAAATAACGAAGTTTTGAAGAGAGGAGGGTTAAAGGGTCACAAAGAGTTAGACGGGACTGAAGAATGACTCAACCACAAAACAGGGTTACAGTGGGGAAGCTAATGAGTTCAGTTTCAGACATGATGAGGTTGAGATGTTTCTAGGACATCCAGTTTGAAATGTCTGATAGGTGATTTGGGATTGAAGTTCGGGACAGAAAATAGGCCTAGAAAAATAAATCTCTAAGCTATGTGCTTAAAGATGATCATTAGACCATAGGAACTAATGAAGTTTACCCAGAAAAAGAGGGAGAAGATAGAACCTTAGAAGAATACCCACATTCAACAGGCATGATTAAGAGCATGCAAAGGAGACAGAGAAGAAACAGACATATTAAGTGGAGAACCAGGAGAGAATAGTGTCACTGAAGCCCCAAAAGGAAAGGGGTATCCAGGTGAAGAGGGTGATCAATAGTATCAAATGCAGCAGATTGGTGAAGAAGGATGAGGACGGAGAGAATACCATCACATCTTGCAATTAAAAGATTACCGGTAACTTTGGAGAGAAGAGTTTCTGTGAAGTAGTGAGGTCTGTATTTCACGTTGCAAAAGATTGAAGAATGAAAGAAAAGTACTGGAGGCAGCATGTGTAGACATGCTTTTTGAAGGAGTTTATTTAACAAAGACAAGAGAGACAAAAGTTTTAGGGGAAAGGATCTTGGGAAGGTTTATTTATTTATTTTTAAAGAATGGCCAAGAGAAGGAAATAGGAGATAGTGAGAGGCTGAACAACATGTGTAGAGAGGTTGGCCTTGGCAAGAAGGGCTTCCTCGTTGTCAGAGACCTGGGGAAGGTAGGTGAGACTGAGAGAGATCAAGAGATTTTGAGATGAAGAGAATGAGAAAAAAATGGAGCTCATATCTAATGACCTCTATTTTTTCCATACACTTACTCAGGACTTGAGTAACACCTTCTCCCCCAGCCTCTTCTCCCTCTGATTGGAGTAGGTCAGGGTGGAGTGCCAAACGCCACACCAGAAAGACCCTGATTTCCCCTCCCTTCACTGCATCCTTTTGTGTATGGTATGCCACAATTAGACTGTAAGCTCCTTGAGGGCAGGGACTATCTTTTTTTTTAATTGCATCACCAAGCACTTTGTTGTCCTTGAGTTGTTTTTCAGTTGTGTCTGACTCTTTGTGACCCCAATTAGAGTTTTCTTGGCAAAGATACTGGAGTGGTTTGCCATTTCCTTCTTCTCCAGCTCATTTTACAGATGAGGAATCTGAGGCAAAGAGGATTAAGTGACTTGCCAGGGTCACACAGCCAGTAAGTGTCTGAAGCCAGATTTGAACTCAGGCCCTCCTGACTCCAAGTTTGGCACCCTATCCGTTGTGCCACCTATCTGTTTGCCTGGCACATAGTAGATGCTTAATAGATGTTTATTGGATTATTGAATTGGATATATATGCTTGTTATACTAATTATTAACCATCGTTATCTACGTATTAAAGCAGGGCCTCTATAAACTAGCATTTGCTACAGAGTACTGTTAACCCAATTCTCATAATATATGTACTTGAAACAATAAAATTGTTTTTCAATTAAAAATATTCTGTAATTCTGCATTATCTAATTTAGTCAGGTTTTCCTAGAAAGAGCCCTGGTTCTAGAGTCAGACGGTATAGGCTGAAATCTCACCTTTCAGAGCCTGTGTGACCTTGGGCAGGTTACTCAACCTCAAAGGGACTCAGTTTCCTCATTTGTAAAATGAGAGGGTTGGACTAAATGACCTCTCTGAGATTTTCCAGCTCTAAATCTATGGTTCTATGATTCAGTCCCTACGGAATGGGAATTTCTAATCAGCATTTCTAATTCACTCATCTTCTAACCAGTTTGGATGCCATAATTCCCTAACTTCAGATTTCCAGTTATTTATGAAATAGCCTCCAAAGTTGAACCGAAGGAACACGCAGACCTTCTCTATCTGCCAAACTTGGAAATTTATTGCCATTTTATCTAAAACAATTATCCTTTTTTCCCCTTTTGGAAACCACTTGGCTCTGTCAAAGTGTTTTGATCTTCTCTTTATCCACAAAGATTGATGACTAGGTTTACTTGGCTTACTGGGGAATTTCTAGCCCCTTTGCCAGCAATCCATTGTAATATCAACACATCTAACTCTTGGATTGCCACAGTCTCAGACTCTGACCACAGCTGAACTAGCTGACCCATATCTGACCCAGTGTTATCTTTTTTAAATTGAGCTGAGTTACATCTATATAGTGGTTAGAGTGTTTTATTTTGTTAGGGGATTCTCTGTTAAAAAAAAAAAAAAGAGCCCTGTTAACTCAGGTTCCTAAATCTGAAAGTTATTCATGCATAAAATATTCAGTAGGGTATAACTGAGGAGCAATTAGACCACATAACAAAGAATTCGCCTCAATAATAAGAAACTCCCTGCTCACCTCTGCTGTCAGTCCCAATGTTCTTGAAGTTCCCTGAACGCAGGCCCCTATGGCACCTGCATGCCAATTCTCTCTAGTGTTTATCCACAAATGCCAAATTTTAAGCCAATCTCCACTTCAGGCACAGCAACAGAAGTAATCCATGCTAGCCATTTGAGCATTTGTGGCTTTCCTTCCACTGAGTTTGTAGGTTGGACAAAACAATAAATTTCTAAACACGTCTCAGTGGGAAATATCCAAAAAAGAGAGATAGCTCACTCAGGCCTGGGAGGCAGAATATTCGAAGTCTAGTCCTGATTTTGCCGTAAGCCCACTGGATGGCTTTGGCTGAGTTTCTTAACCTCTAAAGGTCTTATTTTCCTCATCTACAGATAAATAAGGGAGTTGGATTAGGGCGTCTTTAAGGTCCCCTCCTGCTTGGGAAAATCTCGATCTAAATAGATTCACTAACAGAGTTTGGTGAGCACCTACTTTGTGCAAATAACTGTATTCAGGTTCAGAAAGGGCATAAAATGAGCCAGATCCCAATCAGTACAAATCATGAAGGGCTCCCAAGTATTCAAATTCCCATTATGCAAAGTTATAATTGTATAAAATATGGTAACAGGTTCCATTCCAATGGAAATCTGCAGTTCAAATGAGAATACCATGGCCACTTCAGAGTAATCCCTTTTTTGGGCAAATTAGGACCTTGCTGGAATAATGATACCTGTCCTCATGGAGGTTATAGTCTAGCTGAAAATAGAAAATTCTATCATGGTGTGAGAGTAGAACACCTCTATAGTTCTTAGGCCTATCAATATGTACAGTACTGTGTGTTTCCTGATAGGAAGACATATTAGGGTACTTTATATTATGTAGTATATTTTCTGTATTACCCTGAAAGAAACCAGTGTAACATGCTTCACTACAGTTTGTGTGCTGCCTGTCAGCTGGACCAGGGATTCTTACCCATTTTGCATGGATCACCTAGTGAAGCCTATGAACCCTTTCTCAGAATCATATTTTTAAATGCATAAAGTAAAATACTTAGGATTACAAAATCCTATAAAATAAAAATAATAAATAATAAAAATACTGAAGATGTCGAAAATACTTAGGAATACAAAGGAAAACAATTATATTGAAACATGGTTACTAAAATATTTTAAAAACAAGTTCACAGAACCCAGGTGAAAAACCCTTGACCTAGAGGTATCTACCCCTAATCTTCTATTCTAACTTCCAAATGGCAATGGTTTGTAAGTATGTTGTGACATGCTGTGTTTGCCAAATACCATTTTATCCTATAAAGTATATATTTAACAGATAGATTAAATAGATTAAGATTAAAACACAATTTTAGCCCATTTTACAAATGAAATTGAAATCTGAATGAACAAAAATACGACTTGAAATCCATATGGTTTGCTCTATTAGAAAATGGATTTAGCTGCTGGCTTATTCAAACCAGAGAATCAGCTCTCGGAGCTTATTTGTTACATCTTTCAAATATCGTAAATTAAGTTTCTCAAATCAAAATGTTTCTGCTGGAATATACCTTATTTTTATATCATAGGATGATTAACTGCAGCAGGGGAGATTGTCAATGGTGTTGCAGGACACAATAGACTTTTCAGTGGGAAAATTGCATTACAGTGGAATCAGCCATCCTGGGACTTGAGTTTGCTGTTTGCAGAGTGACAGTGTCCCTGCATGGCCAGAAGGCTATACTGCAATGCATGCCTGGGTGTGTCTGCATCTGACTTCTTTCCATTGCTTCTCTCCTTCCTAGGTTCCAACATTCCCATCGTCATGTCTTGGAGTGTTTGGGGCAACAGCTTTTCAGACTATTTCTCTTAGAGAAAATTAACTAAAGACTATCACAGTATCAGTTTCTTTGCAATGTAACTATGAGTGAATTAATGCAGGAGCAGAAACAGCTGCCCTGAATGAGATATCCATTTTTGGACTTAATTTTGCTTGGATTATGTATATTGGTTATGATGGTTTTTTTTCTCTTTTTATTGCTCATTTGGGTGGGAGAGGAAGGTGGGATGGAAAGAATAAATGCTTATTAATCAGAAAAAAATATTAAACTTAAAAAAAAAAAGAAATGAAGAAAGCTACCTCATCTAAACATGCCTCAGTGGGAAATATCCAAAAAAAGAGAGATCATTCACTCAGGCCTGGGAGGCAGGATACTCAAAGTCTAGTCCTGAGTTAGTAATACTGACCTCTAGAAACATGGAAATTTCTATGGTATTCCATCAAACTGGCCACCCTGGATATACAAAAACCCTAGCACATTAGGAAGCTAGGAGACAAAGAACTGTGAAAACACAATGTCAGGAATTAATGATAAAAGCTGATTATAACCAGTCATTTCCCAACTTACCTTTTCAGACTATGAGATATTACTTCAAAAGCAAACTCCATCAAATATATGGAAGGAAGGAAGGAAGGAAAGAATCTCTCTTTGCTGGAAATCTAGCTATTGTGGAATTAACCAAGCTTCATTTTAGATTTTTTTTTTTTTTTTGCTTCAGAGCCCACGTGAAGCAAACCAACCAATTAAAAAAAAAAAAAAAACACTGGACGCCACATTCTAAAAATTCATTAGTACTGGGAATGGAGAAGGAAAGGAACCTAGCTGAGACATTTATTCTCAGTGATGAAAATGTCTGGGAAAACATGAAAGAATGTAGTTCTGGGACCTCAGTACCGCCCCACACACACATACGCACTTACATACTCCCCCAGTTATCTAATAGTATACACATTACACAAGAGCTGTCCAGTCCAAGTTTTCAGAATAATGATTTCCATTTGTAGCAGCCAAAGTATGCAAAGGTAAGCCATGCTTTCTGCAGCATGATAATTATAAAGAAACTTTCAGAGGATTGAAAGAAGAGTCAAAAGGTCTGGTGGAAATGAATTCTGATAAGAATGTTTAAATGAGTGAGAAGAATAATTCTGCAACAAGGGGACCTTCACACGTTCATAAAGAAGAGTTACTTTTCACATGTCTACATCTAGTGATCACTAGATGGAGAGGTATTATTGACAATAAAGCCTGGAAGAGATGAGGAGGGTTTGGGGGAGAGGGGAAGAGAGAGAGGAAAGGACTTGACCTTGCCCTGTTTTTCCAAGCGGGAATCCCAGAAACCCTCAAGGCTGGGCATAGGCTCAAATCCAAAGATATACAAGGTAACACTCTGAGATCTACTGCGTAAGAACTGGGAACCCAAAGGCTTTATTGGGCACTCTTAGCAAAACCCTGCAACAAATAGGATTTTTTTTTTTTTTGGTGTGGCATTTGAGGTTAAGTGACTTGCCCAGAGTCACACAGCTAGTATTATGTGTCTGAGGCCAGATTTGAACTCAGGTCCCCCTAACTACAGGGCCGGTGCTCTATCCATTGCACGACTTAGTTACCCCCAAATAAGATATTTTAAAAACTCTTTACCTTTGCAACGAAGGCAGCTCAGCACAATGGCCAGAGGGGTGACCTTAGGGTCACAAGACCCAGGCTCAAGCCCTTCCTTTGACGCATGCCAGCCATATGACTATAGGTGAGTCCCGTAACTTCTCAGTGCCCTCAGTAACTCTCTGAGGGTATGAGTTACCAATACTCTACCCACCTGCAGCAGTGGATGGAGCTTTCAAAGCAGGAAATCCCCTTACAGTGAAAGCACATGATTGTTTCTCTCTCTTCCCTCCCAAAATCTAGAGGTCAGTGCTTTTATCTATAATCTACAAGTTAATCTTCGGAACACACAATGCTAATCACACATCACTTCACTCCTCAAAAGCCTCCGAAGCTTTCAAATACTGCCCATTAAGAAATGTCTAACCACCTTGTCGTGGCCCACTCAGAGTGCAGCGTGGTGCGCTCTATGATTAGACATTCAGTTTTTAAATCTCCTCAATAAGTTGCCTAGCGTAATAAGCAGGGTGCTAGACTTTGTGTCAAGAAGACCCGAGTTCTAATCCTCTTCCTCTTCCTCCTTCTCAACCTTGACAACTTTCTATTTACACCTGGATGAGACCTCGGAAATCATCTAATCTGTTCCCTCACCTTGCAGATGAGGAAACTGAGGCCCAGAAAGGTGATGTCCAATCTCACACAAGTACTAGGTGGTAGAGCTGGAATTCAAACCCGAGTCTCCTGGCTTGAAATCCATTGCACCAAGGTGCATGCCTGAACTAAGTAATTGAAAGGTAGTGATTTGTATTGTCCAAGGGAATCATAGATCTGTAACATGCTGACCTGTTTTTATATAGCATAGGGAAAGGAAGAAAATAAGCATTTATTAAGTACCTACTATGTGCCGAGTACTATTCTAAGTACTTTACAATTACTACCTCATTTGATCCTCACAATAACTCTGGGAGACAGAGCTGTTATTACCCCCATTTTACAGATGGGGAAACTGAGGCAGACAGTGGTTAAGTAATCTGCCCAGAGTTACACAGCTAGTGACTGTGTGAGGCCACATTTGAACTCTGCTCTTCCTGATTCCAAGCCCAGCTTTATCTCTGCTGTGCCACCGAGTTGCATAAGGTAAATAGGACAGATTTTAGAGGCATCCAGTGACAGTTAGCTTGATCAAAGGCCCAAAGTGATAACCACAGACTACTACCTAAAAGATAGCAGTTCCCTTAAACAACAAATAGAAAAAATAAATGATTTCTTTAGATATTTAAAAGGAAATAAAATGGAAATTAGGCCTAAGCATCAGAAGAAAGGCATATTCCGAGAGATGAGATGAAACCCTCATTATTCTAGGTATTCATTCTCAAGGCAGGCTCATCTCCAGAAGGAACTATGCATGGGCAGGCAGGAGGAGATAAGCAGGCAGAAAATGATTTTCTCAATGTCTGGCTTTCCATGATTCTTTATCACTTACCTTTCATTCCCTTGGGCCCTGGTGGTCCTGGATCTCCCCTGACCCCTGGAGGCCCTGGGTCACCTGCTTCCCCTGGATACCCTTTCAGCCCAGGAATCCCTGGAACACCTAACAATAAAAGAGGCATTTCTTTCAGAAATAGATGCTCCGTGAGTAAAAGCATAAAAAATACATAAGGCTAACTTACTGGTAAAGTTGTTTGCTAGCCCCAGAGGTCACATTTATTACTTATCCTTACTAATTCTCTTTATTTCTTATCTCCAGTAAAGAATTATAGAGAGGAGTGGTGCTTTGGCTAATTGTAGTTGTCACTATAGGAGTCAACCATGAGGTCTATGGGTAACTTGTGTGGACCAAACCAGATTAAAATGTAATTGGAAAATATTTAACAAAATAAATAAAAGTACAATAAAAATAGAGAATATTACATTTAAAAAGTGAGTCAATATGCAGCCAGAAGGGATCCATACATAATGGATTTGTGGCCTCCATTTCTATTTGAGCTTGACACCACTGGTTTGGTTTGGTTTTTACTATTTCCCCTTTCTTTGGGTTGTCAAGACAATTCACTCAAATGGTATATATGGGTATCTCATATGCCAGGGAGAAGTACAGATAGCAGGTGATATGTTGAGTCTTACAAGATGTTCTGTATCATTATTGGGCTCCGTCCCCCATCATCACCATTTTTTACAACAGTTTGTAGCCAAGGGTGTTTTCAAGCTACCTGGAAATCCTGGAGGTCCTGGGTATCCAGGGGATCCTTTCCTTCCTGGTGGTCCACTAGACCCTGGAGGGCCTGGAAAACCTGGATCCCCTTGCTCTCCAAAATATCCTTGAAGACAGATGAGTTAGACTGAGTCACACCACCAAATCTTCACACCTTCTAAATTCATGACACTTTATGCAGTCATGACGCCACAGTGGTACTCTTTTACAATTAGTGTTTTGCTTTCAGTGGGCCAGTGGGAATCATCAGTTCTAATTCAGGATGTCCTGTCTATGTGGGCTTGTAGCAAGGTTCAGAATTTTCAGCAGCGTAGAGTTCTTTGGCAACCATATTTTGTCAAATCCGAAGGACTGGGAGCAGGGGGCAGGGACTATGAAAATATTAACAGTTGGCTATATGTCTAGATTCCCTATGATTGAAAAGGGCCTTAGAAGTATTGCATCGCACCCTTATCTGAAACATCAGTATTATATTAACTCCCACAAGTATTCTTCCAGTCTCTGCCTAAAAAACTGACCATATCACTCCCCTACTGTAGTAAATTCCTATTGCCTCTAGGGTCAAATATCAGCTTCTCGGTTTGGCATTTAACACCCCTCACTAGAGACCTGGCTCCAAGATACTGTACTTTGCACATCCTTACACACCAAAGTGTCATTTCAGAAATGGCGGTGGTCTTTCCCCATCCTGCAGTTATACAAGGATTGTAGGATAAGGCAAGCACTAGAAGGAGAACACCATGCTGCTGGGAATGAATGTATGGGTAGCAGCTAGGTGAGGAGTAGGTGTTGTGATATTGAGTGGAGGATTCCAAGGCACCAGGTACAAGAGACTGTTATAAGGAAGAAGTAAGCTTCCATATGTCAATATCTTGGGACAAAGTCCTGGAATCCCTCTCCTAGTTACAAGGAGAAATGCCATGAAACTTCATGGAGATAACCACAGGAAACTACAAATTGGCTTTGGATCATAAATGTAGACCCGATGTCTGGCAGAAAGGAAGTCGAGTCTCCAGTAATCAGGGTATGGGAACATAGGAGCTTAATAAAATATTAAATGACACTAGTACTATGATTCTTTAGGCTCAGAGTCATGGAATCTGAGAAGGGACCGCAGCAGCCATGGAGTCCAAACCATACGTGTGAGGAAGCCTTGCTATAATATACCCAATAAGTAGTTATCCGGCCTCCAGCCTCTGCTTGAAAACCCCTAAGGAGGGGCAACCCAGCACCCCTCTAAGCAGTCTATTTATTTCAGGACAGCCGTAATTGTTAGGAAGGTTTTACTGACATTTTGTCTAAATTTGCTTCTTTTCAACTGGTACTGCTGTTCTGAAGTCAAAGAGAAGAAGTCTACTCTAGTCTATACTCCAATCTACATCTACAGCCCCTTTAAATACTTAAAGACAGATATCATGTGCCCTTTGAATCTTTTTTTCTCCAGGCTGCACATGCCCATTTCCTTCAATTCATCCTTATGTGACTTGGGCTGAAGGTCTTTCATCATCCTGGTTGCTCTTCTTTGGACATGCTCCAGCTTCTTAACATCCTTCTTAAATGGTGGCCACCAGAAAGGAATATAATAGTCCACATGCAGCTCAAGAAAGGCAGAGTACATTGAGACCGTAACTTCTCTATTTCTGGAAAGCTACACCCTACTTAAACGCAGTCCAAGGTCATATTGGCTCTCTTAGCCACTATATCCCACTGCTGACTCCTACTGAGAGTGTAGTCCAATTAAACTCCCAGAACAACTGTGGTCTCTCCATACCTCTGCCATTTTATTCTTATAACACAGATTTTCTTTGTACTCAACTGCAAGACTTTCCACTTATCCCTGGTGAATTTTACCTTTCTAGACTCAGCCGAATGCTCAAGATTCTTAAGATCCTTTTGGATTTTCTGTTTATTGCCTCCAGATCCTTTATCATTATGACACTGGGACTGTGATTTGATAAATATTTTAAACCTTCTGCATTATGGTCATAGGACCATTTGTCAACACTGAACATTTAATATCTTTTTTTTAAACCAATTTTTGACAGAAAAGACCACAAGATACATAGTTGCTTAAGCTAGAGGTAAATGATACATAAACTACATTTTTTTTGCATACAGTATGAGTTGGTTGGCCTTGTGGTCTTTCATTTTTTAAATTCTTATGGGAAGAAAAGAAAAAAAACTTATTTTTTCCCACAGATACTCTTCTGTTCTGAAATGTTTCCTACAGTCTTAAGATGAAAGGAATTACAGTTATTCAAAGGAATACTTCAATGTAAATGCTCAAAAGTTAACTGCTACAAGATCTCTTCATTTTTATAATAGAATCCATTGAAACAGAGAACTGGCTTTAGTCCTAGCCTTACCAGTAACTAACTTGTTGTGCAGCCTGGGGCAAGTTATTTAAACTTTCTAGGTCTCAGTTTCTTTATCTGTAAAATGTGGGAGAAGGACTAAATAATCTCTAATGTTTTTTTTCCAAATCTAAGATTCTTTGTTATTCATTTATGTTAGATAATAGCATAGGGAATTGATTTATTTTCACTTAAAAAGAATTTTTGGTTTCTTTTTTTGTTTTTTTTTTTTGTTGTTGTTGGTGAGGCAATTGGGGTTAAGTGACTTGCCCAGAGTCACACAGCTAGTAAGTGTTATGTGTCTGAGGCTGGATTTGAACTCACGTCCTCCTGACTCCAAGACCAGTGCTCTATCCACTGCTTATCCACTGTGCCACCTAGAGGCCCCAAGAATTGTTTTTTTAATGAAGGAGCTGGACTCAACGACCTCCCAGATCCCTTCCACCTCTAAATGGATGATTTTTATGATTTCGAGTTATATTTGTTGCTTCTCTGACGTCCTGTTTTACTATTGTGTGGATCTAGTCTCAGGTAACTCCATCCATCAATCAAAATAAACTAATAAACATTTATTGAACTTCTATTATGCGCAAGGCACTGTAAGAGATGCAGGGGGAAAAAATGTGAGCAACCCTGCAACTCAAGGAAATTACAACATGGTTGGCGAGATAAGACACACATATGAAAAGATTAACAATATAAATGTTAATAACAGAGAAGCAGTGAGATATCTCAAAATCTCCATATCTCTACCCCTCCAGACCAAGGTACAGAGTGGCTATACTACTTTCTGAAAGACTTTTTTAAAATAGAGTTTAAGCCAACACAGTAGGATGCTTTCATTCCCTTTCATTTATTAGGGATAAATCTCTTCTGGCTTTTTCTTAAACTTTCCTTTTGATATGACTATTTCTCTTTTATGAAGTGTCCATTTTCAGAGGTTCCTGTCTGGGGATGGAGGTTGGGAGGCAGTGTCTAGAAACTATGCATGGATGGGAGAGTCCAGGTTTATGTGTGAGTTGTTGTCCTTCATTCTCAAAGAGGACCAAAATGGCAGACGGTGATGTTTTGACTACTCCTACTTTTGTCTTCTATTGGGTAAATATTCTAATTATTCTTGCTCTTGCCTTCTCATTTACCAAATGTTTGATATTTAGGAGTCAGTGATATCATTGTAACCAATTCAGTGTTATTGGGGAGCACACTGGTGGTGGCTCAAGAGCTACAATGACAAATTGTTGTGTTCCCCCCCTTTTCTCTCACGTACACACCAGGGTTACGCCTAGCACCCTGAATGTATGAGTTGTAACTGTATGGCCATGGCCTTAGCCAGTCCTCACTCTGTGAAGACTCCAGACCTACCAGAATGAGTGCAGATTGAGCTGCTGGCCAGCCCAGAGAGAGAGAAAGGACTTCTTGGAGTTGCATTAGTGCCACACCCAGACTATTTAGAAGGGATGATTCATACCATCTGGTTGAAGGACCTGAGGATGTTCAGCCAGTATGGAGAAGCAGCATGGAGAAGCAAAAAGAACACCAGACTTACTGGGTTTGGATTTAGGTGCTAACATTTACTAACTATATGACCACAGGCAAATCATTTAACTACTACAAATCTCAGTTTCCTCATTAATAAAATGGAGTTATTCGACCTGGCCCATAGGCCTTCTTTATAAACCTCAAAATGCCATATAAAGGTGAGTCATTATTTTCATTATTGAGAAGACTTAAGGCCCATGGTAGTTGTCTCCAAATAGCTGAAGTAATGAAACATGGAAGAGGGCTTAGACTTATTCTGGTGGGCCCCAGAAGACTAATCAGGGGCAATAAGTGGGAGTTAAAGGGCTGAAAATCTAGATTCAACCTAAGAAAAAACTTCCTGATGATTAGAGAGATTTCAAAGGAGAAAGGGCTGCTTTAGGACATAATGGGCTTTTATCACCAAGGTTCTTTCAGCAGAGGCTGTGTATCATAGACTAGATTCCTGTTTAATGACTAGACCTCCAAAGGTCCTTATAATTCTGAGGTTCTGTGATTCTATTCTATTCTACTCTAAATAGACCCATTTACCGGTGACACAAAATCTTTATGACATCATTAGATGGTGGGAAAGACTGACGATAATTGGGATGACCAGATTAAAAGAAAATTGAAAAAAGGGAAGGCTGCTAGCTAGATTTCTTAGAATCTATCTATACATCCGAAGAAGTCCTGTGCATGTGTATGTGGTCCCCCACCCCCAACCCCTGGAAGAAAATTAATCTTTACCTGGACATCCAGGGATGCCTGGATCTCCTTTTGGTCCAGGTGGCCCAAAAAGACTTACTGTATCACCTTGATTTCCTATAGATGATGAAATAAATGTCATTTATTTGGATTGGGGGGGAAAAGTTTATTTTTCATATACAAAAGCAAAACAGTTTATGAAATTATGTATAATTTATCTGTGCTCTTTCAAATATTTCAGGGTACATTTTTAGAGGTTTCCATCCATCTAGCATATGAAAAATAAATGCTAAGGTACTATTAGAGGTTTAACCTTTGGGACACAGGTTCACCATTCACAATAATCAAAGGAAGACCACAATTTATTTGATGTACTTGTGACTTTCTCCAAACTTCCCTAAAATTTTCTGATTTAATTTTTCAGCAGTCACTTTGTGTCATAATACTATTTAAGAATATATATGTGTGTGTACATACATACATGCATGTACACATATGTATATATTTAGAAATATGTAATATTAGGTTTAATTTTCAAAGTTACATAACAGACACAAAGACATATTCTGAGCTATGAGCAAGGAAACATGTCTTTGCATCCTTGCAAAAAGACTTCACAAAGACATGCTTTGTGCAATAGCCTTACATAGGGATACATATATACACACAGATGTCCATACAAATCCATTTACTTACATAAAGTCACTCATTTATTTACTTATTCAGCAAACATTTACTAAATGCCTTCTTTTTGCCAGGTATTGTGCTAGGAAATGAGGAGATAGATGAAACATAGAATAGTCCCTGCCCTCCAGGAGCTTACATTCTAATGAATGAGAAAAAGAAATAAAAAAGTCCATCTTAGTGGAGATCGTAGGCATTTTCATGGAGCTGAGAATACCCTGACCTCCCATCTGACATGTGAGAATTCATATATAATGTTATGTAGTTGTAACTCACGTAGTTACAAAATATTTACAAGCACAGGAGCTCACATAGTGGGAACGGAAAGGTAGCGAAAGAAGATAGGCCTGCTTCCAGTAGGGTAAGAATTGAAATAAGCTGAGAAGAGATGGAATTAATGAGTTGCCTGCAAGGCAACTGTTGGTTGTAGTATTCATTTTACAAACATCCAGAAGATTTGTATGGTTTAGAAGTGAAGACTAATAAATACCACTTGGACAAACACAATAACCTTTCCTCTTAATATGTCACTGAATTCAACATATCAGAAAAAAGAGGACTCTACTGCTTGCTTTCATATTTTAATTGTCTAATTTATTTATTTTTAAAAATCTCCTTTACTCCTATGATATAGAATAAATAGTCTAAAACTCTAAATAGTCTAAACAAATCAGGAAGTATAGAATTCAATGAATGTTGAGTTCTATTCCTAGAAAATACCTTTAGGTCCCCTTGTCCCACGAGGTCCTGGAAGGCCAGGCAAGCCTGGTAAGCCCAGCTCACCCTAATAGAAAAAAACCCAGCCATATTATGTTTTAAGGGAAAATCATATAAATATGCCATGTTTATAATGATAGATCTATACAAAAGTATTCATTCTTCATAGGATCATACATTTTAAACAGGAAGGGACCTTAAAAGCTGCAGAATCCAACCCTCTAATTTTATGGATGAGGAAGCTGAGGCACAGAGAGGTTAAATGACTTACCCCCATTCATAAAGCTTGTTAAGTATCTGGGAGAAAATTTGAAGCCAGGTCTTACCAACTCTAGGTCCAGTGCCCTCTCTAATATGCCATGCTGCCTCCCAAAATTCTTGCTACATTGGCCCAGAATTGAATCTGGGACTCTCATATAGTGGGTGAGAATTTTATTAGTGACTCCCTAACAATAACGTTTTCCTTTAGGAACTTCTTGTATGGTAACAATCAGTAGAAATAAAATGCTTTGCAGAAATGCGTATCATTACACATAATTTAAAACAATTATAGCCAGGCTTATTGTAGTTACTAGTTAATTAATCTAATTACCTCATACAAATCTGAGAGCTCAAAATTTTCTTTAAATTCACTTGGATAACTAAAAAGGGCGCCTTTCACAGTCCCCTAATCTGCTAGTGCCCCCTGCCAAGACTACCCTGTAATCTTACACATATTCTCTGCATACTTATACATATACATGCTGCCTCCCCCCCCCCCTTAACATACACGTTTCTTAAGGACAGGGATTGTTTTATTTTTGTCTTTGTATGCCAGGTCTTGTTTTTGATTATCCTTCATTTTCAAAGAGGAACAATCACAGAGTGATGTCCTGACTTGTGCATGAATTGAAGTGAGGCAGAGTTGCTCAAAGTCGGCAGCCTCACTCTCTCTTCCAGAGTCATTGAAGTCCAATGGCAGGGCAAATATCAGGACAAGTGGTGATGGCTTGGGATGCCATGGATGACCTTGGCATCTTTGATGTCTGATCAAGATCTAAGTGCTCCACAGTACTTTCTTCAGCCGCCTTCATGGCCTTTGGAATAATTTTTTTTTCCTCCAGTCCATTCTGTTGGACATGTCATCACATGTTTGAGGTAGATATCTCCCTAACTCACTGAGGGGTCTGAGGCTATTGGGTACCATCAACATGGTTTAACCTATCTGTCGAGAACATTTTACTGGAGTGTGGCCACTGTACATGCTACAACTTCTTAGAGCCACAATTGAGAGCCTTTAGTAGAGTGCTTGACACAAAGTAGTAGCTTAATAAGTGCTTTTGATTTACTTTAAAAAAAAATTCACCTGGATAGTAAAGTAGTAGTGTCTTTGCATAGTTTGATCTGTAACTTGTAGAAGAATGAGTGTATAATTCATGAAATTGATTCAATAGCTGTTTTGAATTTTTTTTAAAAGATAATCTGAATGTCATTCCCTAATTGATATGTGGTCAAAGGATATGAATAGCCAGGTAGTTTTCAAAGAAAGAAACCAGGTTGTCAATAGTCATATGAAAAAATGCTTCAAAGCACTAATAAGCAAAGAAATGAAAATTAAAGCAGTTTTGAGGTTTCACCTGACACTTATCAGATTCACAAAGATGACAAAAAGGGAGAATAATAAATATTGGAAGGGCTATGGGGAAATAGGCATATGAATACACTGTTGGTGGAACTGTGAATTGGTCTAGCCATTCTGGAAAACAATTTGTAACTAGGCCCAAAAAGTCACTGATTGTAGTCCATTTAACTCAGTAAGTACTACCATGACTAAGTTTATACCCAAAAAGATCCATGACAAAAGAAAAGGACCCATGTACAAAAATATCTAGAGTAGCTGTTCATACAATGAAAGGCAAAGAATCAGAAGCTAAAGTGGAGAATGGCTAAACAAATCAAGGTATGTGCATGTAATGGAATTTGACAACAAAAAGGAGATTTCAGAGAAACCTGGGAAGACTTGTATCCACTGAAGAAGAGTGAAATGATCAGAACCAAGAGAAAAATTTATACAATAACAAAAAAATATATAAAGGCAAACAACTTTGAAAGCCTTAAGAGTTCTGATCAATGAAATGGCCAACCATGATCTCATAGGATTGATGATGAAGCCTGTTGCCCACTTTCTAGACTCAAGATACAGAATGAGACAGTCATCTTGGGACATGGCCAACGTGGAAACTTGTTTTACTTCTCTCTATATATAAATATGTGTGTGTGTGTGTGTGTGTGTGTGTGTGTATAGACATTTGCTATAAGGGTTTCTCTTTTCTTTTTTCTTTTCTTGTACGAATAGGGGGTAAGAGGAAGAGAAAATAAATGTTTGTTAATTGAAAAAAGTTACATTTAAGATAATAACATTAGCTCACTTTTCATGTCTTTTCTATACATCTTGATTTGGTACATAATCCTAGAAAATTTCAACAACTGCTTTCATCAATTATGATTCAGCTTTTCACTCTTGCTGTCTGTGGTAATCTGGAAAAACCTCTGGTTTCCATTCCTAGCATTTCTTGCAACAGACCTTCTGCTTTAGATATCTCCCTACCCCTCCTTACCTCTTCTCTAGACCTCCCTCCTTCCCCCCCACATAATTTGGAATCTTCCCTGATAGAACTGTCCAGCTTCCTGACTAATTTGGGCCTATCTCTGACATTAGAACTAGTAAGCCAGTCAGATATGTCTGACTAAGACTCTACCCCTCTGTGTAGAAACTCCAGCCCTCTTCCACACTGGAAAGCATCCTTGTTATGTGGGATAACTAAGATGTGCCCATTCTGATCTGGGAAAAGGGTCTAGCCATTCTGGAAAGCAATTTGGAACTATGTCCAAAAACTCTGGATACCATGCTTCTAGTATAACCAATTATCCTTTCCTCTTTTTGCCTTGGCTTTAAGATCATCTTCCCCATGGCCCTAATTCTTCTAATGGTTAAGTCTAAGAAGTCTAGGATGTATCCTGATGGCCCCTCCAGAGATACAGGTGTAACCCTGTTCCCTTGTCTCTCAGGTAACAATGATCCTAGTACATTTTTGCTTTGCTACACTCTTCTCCCCCTCTTAATACCTTTACTTGTCTCAAGGTAAGTCATAAGAGCTTCCCTTGTGTGAGTTAAAACAAGCCAAAAAAGGCCTATTGATTTTAACATTACTGACTGTTGTGTGTCTTACGTGGAAATTTCAAATTCCTTCCAAAGCAACAACAATAGATAGCGATGCTATCCTATCTGACTTCCCAAGAGATGATTCTTCTTATGACTAAAAAAATCAGTACATGTATTTATTATACAAGGTATGTTATTAGATACTCAACCAACTAGAAACCACCATTTCTGATACCCTTAGTACCAAGGAAATAATCAGTAGAAACTATAATAGAGTAATTGAATTAGAATAGAGTTGCCAGAAAATTGCAATTTACCACTCCTTCTCTGTGGCTGTGGATTTTATCTTTTTAAACTTTTTTCTTGATTGGGGGAAGGGAAAACTAATTCTAATGGTTTCACAGTGTTCATTTACACTTTCATCACCTTTCACAACTTAGGAACAAGAACTGACAAGAAACATATAAGATGACATGAGTTAACTGTACATTCTGATGAATTGATAGGTCCCGCTCCCCCAATATGTCAGATAAAGTGTTTTCTGATTTCCTTCCCCCCTCCTCATTTTATGGAATAGCTTACCTGGTCCCCTGGAATGCCTGGAAAACCAATTATTCCTCTGGGCCCTTGAGGTCCTGGGAGGCCTGGGGGTCCTGGAAGTCCCGGAAGACCATTGTTGCCAGGTTCTCCTCTTTGAAAACCAGGTATCCCATCTCTTCCTGAAATTCCTTTTATCCCTGGGATTCCAGGAGCCCCTTTTTCTCCTGAAGATACATGAGGAGTTTAGAATGTTTCAGTACCAGATCACCAGAATTAGAGCTGGAAGAGGACTTAAGAATCACCTAGTCAGTCAGTCAACAAATATTGATCTAGTGCTTATTGTGTGCCAAACTCTGAAGATACAAAGAAGGCAGGGGTAGCTAGGTGGCGCAGTGGATAGAGCACAGGCCTTGGAGTCAGAAGGACCTGAGTTCAAATTCGGCCTCAGACACATAACACTTACTAGCTGTGTGACCCTGGGCAAGTCACTTAACTCCATTGCCTAACCAAAAAAACAAAACTAATAAAGAAGGCAGTGGGGATGGGAGTGGGGTAGGGAGAAATTCCCTACTCTTACAGAGTTCACAATCTAGAGGGGGAGACAATATGTACACAAAGTGGTACAAATAATATATAGACAGGATAAATTCAAGGTCATCAACAAAGAGAGTCACTATTGTTAAGGAAGATGGGGAAGGCTTTCTGGAGAAGGTGAGATTTTAGTTGGGCCTTGAAGGAAGCCAGATAAGCCAGGACACAAAGATGAGGAGAGAGAATTCCAGGCGTGGAAGATAGCCAACAAAAGCTTGTTGACTGACTGACTTCCCTAAGCCTCAGTTTTCTTATCTGTAAAGAGAGGCTTGGACTAGATGAGCTCAAGGTACCTTGCAGCTACAGATTTAAGATGCTTTTATCCTCACATTTTCCGAGGCTTTCCAATTGAACCCCTCATTTTTCAGGCGAGGAAACAGAAACCCAGAAAGTTGAAGTGACTTGATTGTTAATGGCAGAACTGATGCTCTTCTGAGTCTGCTTTGTATGCCACCCCACTCCCTCTTAAGCATTCAGCGTGAGATTAAGCTTCAGAAGCTAGAAGATTTGGCCTTCTGGATGACCTCCATGGGAATCACCCACACCCATCGATGTTCACATAAATGCCAGCTGCTCATTTCAACACCAGCTCCAAAAGGTGTGCATGAAAGGAGTAAGGACAAGGAAGGAGAGGGACACGTTGGGAATGAGTGTCCATGCCTCATCACCAATTCCAGTTCTGAATTTCCCAAACTCTAAGTGCATATGGGCTTTAGAAGAGAAAATTGTCAGGTAAATTCTAAGAAGAGAGAAATATAGCAATAAGAGAATGTCACTTGGTTAATTACCATTTAGTCTTATAGAGAGATGGCCTTCCTGGATTCAGCAATAATACCAGCATCATTGGAAAATGGTTATGAACTCCATATCTCTAGTTGGTCATGCATAGAAATTCCAGGATATTTGCCAAGGTTAAGCAAATAAACTTATCTTTCTTACCTTTTTCTCCTGGGAATCCGTATCTACCAGGTGGCCCATGTTCACCTTTTTCCCCCTTTCTTGGAATTATGGAAATATCCCCTTGATCTCCTGGATGGCCTTTTTCTCCTTAAAACATCAATAAAATTCACAAGTCAATAAATAGACATGATCTTTAAATCATAGTTTTTCATTCCTCTCCAATTGTGTCCCCAGTACTAACTATAATAATTATATTTATTAGTCTGTTTAGTTTAGTTTTATGTATTTGTACTGGAAGAGGGGAAATCTTTGCTACTTCCATTACAACAGGTTTGGAAACAGTTTTTCAACACCCAGTAGACCTGCAAAAATTCTGTTTGGTCTGTAAAATCTCAATTTTCCTGGCTCACATTTACCAATTCCACGTCCTCTTCCTAGTCATTTTCATCATACTGTTTTCCTTATCACTGGGCTAAGAGAACGGTTGCTTAATTGTGTCCAGTAAATACACCCTGGAGTTCCCCATAAACACAGATTCCCATGACGACCAAACAAAAAAGAGAGGAGAAAAGAAGAGCAGTGCAGAAACCTGGTTTTCATTAAGTGTGCCCTAAGGATGAACCAGGGCTTGACTTCTTGGTGAGAAAGGCACTAAAACCTAGGTAAAGAGTGACTTCTTGTCTCCTTGATATTATGTAGGTGACTCACTGGTTACTAAAACAGAAAATAATAGTCAACCTAAACAACTAAAATGGAATAATAATTTAAAATCGAATATTTGTTGTTGCTATTTTTCAGTAGTGCCTGACTCTTCGTGACTCCACTTGAGGTTCTCTTGGCAAAAATCCTGGAACAGTTTGCCATTTTCTTCAATAGCTTATTTTACAGATGAGGAAACTGAGGCAATCAGGGTTAAGTAACATGCCTAGAGTCACATAGCTAGTGAGAGTCTGAGACCGAATTTGAACTCAGGAAGATGAGTCTTCCCCACTCCAGGCCCAGCACGCTTTCCACTGCTCCACCTAGCTGCCCCAAATCAAACATATAGATAATAAAATGAATTCATTGTTTCGAAGTGTATTTCTAGGAACTATCTCACATCTTTCTCTCAGTGTTGGGGATAAAATCAGACATATATGAGTCCTCAGAGGCATCAGACTCTCTATCCAGTGTGGCTCTCCAAATTACAATGTAACTGGGAAATGTTTAATAAAGTAAATAAAAATACTGTACAACATAGATAAGGTTAACTTGTGGTTTTCTAAGTAAATATACAGCCCCACAGGGATCCATTTCTATATGAGTTTGACCCCACTGCCTAAGCAAGTATACACAATGTGAAAATTAAATAATTAATGATTCCATGTAGGTTATAACCTTCAGAGAGATGTCTAAGGCTCAGAAAAGTCATGGAACTTGCCTGTGTTCACACAGTAAGTCAGAGGTCGGAGATGAGTTCTTATTCCAAGCCTAGCACTCTGTCACCTCTTATAGGATATTTGAACTAAAATGTTAAGAGCTACTTCTAATAATAAAGGTAGGAGACATAGTGGATAGGGCAGCTATGGTAATGGCCTTGGAAACAGAAGACATGAGTTCAAATCTTGCTTCAGATGCCTACTAACCATGTGACCCGGGATAAGTCATTGACTCCTTTGAGCCTCAGGTTCCTATTTGTAAAATGGGGGTATCACATCTATTTACAAGGCTCTTGTGAGGATTAAATGAGATAATATAATGTAAATACACTTTACAAACTTTAAAGAATTATAAACATGTTAGCTATTATTGTCTATAGATATGTCAGAAGACAGGTATGTAAAGAGAATGTTTAGAATTCAGGCAAGAAATTCTGAAATAAAAATCAAAATAAGGAATCATGGAGGAGGCCAAGGGTTAAGAATCTAATTCTGATGAACTTAAATGGGGAATGGGCTTATGATTTCAGGGTACAGACTGTGGTAAGGAAACTATACAGACTGACTGCATCAACTACTACAGCTTGTAATGTTGTTGAAAGCATGGAGAGGTTGTGAATTGACCAACGTCACACAGTCAGTATTTGTCAGGGTGGGTACTTGAATTGGGGCCTTCCTGGCTTTGAGATCATACCATGTTACGTCTGTAGAAGAGGAGACTGAAGTACTAACGAAAACATTTACCTTTAGAGCCCGGCTCTCCTGGCTCTCCTGGAAGGCCACAATGACCTTCTTCTCCTGGGTCACCCTTTCTACCTGGAAGTCCTATTTCTCCTTTTCTTCCTCGCTCTCCTGGAAAGCCTGGGATACCTGGCAGGCCTTGGGCCCCTGGAGTGTTCCACAGTATGCAAAAGAAAACATGGATTTTACGGAAGTATTTTTGAGAGACACTACTGAGAGACATCAAATAATAGCTAGAAGAATGGGGGGATGACTTGAGCAGGTGGCAAAGGATGTACCTACAAATGAATTTGGTTAGGCTCAAAACAGAAATGTGGCTGTGGTGGCTTGAACTTTGTTAGTCACAAGCAAAGAGTATTCATTTTCCCATGAGAGATCTGGACAAAAAGGACATTTCCATGTCCATTAGAATGCAACCTCCTTGAGGGCAGGGGCCATACTCTTCATTTTACTGCATCCCTAGTTTTTAGCACAGTGCCTCTCAAATAGTAAATGCTGAAAAAATGCTTGTTTGACAAATATTTTTTAGACTAGGTCTTCTATCTCACCCAGGTTGGAAGTTCAGTGGCCATTCAAAGGCCCAGTCCCACTATTGATCTGCATGGAATCTTTGACCTACTTTGTTTTTCCAATCTGGAATGAGTCACTCTTTTTTAGACGTCTTGGTGACCCTCTGGTCCCAGAGACTCACAATATTAGGGTCAGATTTAGTGCAAATACTCCTAAGCTCAAGCGATCCACCAGCTTCAATAAAGTTAGTCATGCCTCCACTATGCCTGTCCTGACTTTCCCTAGATATCCAGAAAGACATTGTGAAAACACAGGAGTGTGGCACCAGCCATAGATCTCCATATTTCCAGAGACCCTGGGAGATATTCTGTGAAAGTCATTTTCATTCTGTTGCAAGTTAGAGTCACTTGGATACATGATGCCTATCAAAAGAAGAAAGAGAAAGAGGTTTCTCATCTATGTTTATTTCCCATTGCCCCTGTCCCACTTCTAACACTATCAACCCCACTGCATGAAATAAAGGCTGTGGTATGAATAATTTGCTATAATATGCTATAATTCTTTACTGCCCACATACCACATATGAAATTTTATGCCAAATTATGGTGGTTCCAGAGCCCATGATAACAGAGTTCATCTATAGCCTCACTCCAACATTGCCCAAGGAAAGTTATTCCGTGATCTTAGACCTAAGTCATCCTTTTCTAGAAATGTCCCTAGCACTTCTACTCTGGGTATCCTAAAGTCTCATATCGCACTCACATGAATAAATTAGACCCATGGGAGGAGGTGAAACTGTGGAGAGAGGAAAGGAGGGAAGAGAAAGGGAATGGTACATCAAATCTGAAAAAGAAAAACTTGAGTCTATTAGGATGAAAAAATGTGACATTTGATAATGGATTCAAAATCACTGCTAGCTGTTAATAAAATTTTAAAAATTGAAGAAAATAAGTAAAGCCTACCTTTTGGGCCTGGGGAACCCGGTGAGCCATTATCTCCACAGTGGCCTGAATCCCCTTGTGGTCCTGGGGGTCCAGGTAAGCCTGGAAGTCCTGGGATTCCTGGGAGGCCTTTCATTCCATCTGGTCCAGGTGGACCTCTGTCTCCTTGGTGACCTTTCAAGCCATCAAACCCTGATGAAAACCACAGTCTGATCAAATTTACAAGGGCACTGTATACCAAAAAACTTAATTTTCTTTTCATTTATATATAAGCAGAAAAGATTAAATTGTGCATCTACGAGCATGAAAAGGGAATAAGGGAACTTGCCTAGGCTAAAGGCCAAAAGGTCCTGAACATTTGATAAAGATTGATAACACGAGATGTCTTTGCTGATCCAAAGAACAATATCCATAATTAAGACTGATACCATTGCTCAGAGGAAGCAAAGAAAGATTATCAAGAGGAGAGTTTGAAAGAGGGAAAGGAAATTGGACAGGTGAAATAATGAGCTATTCACAATAGGCCCTGAACAAATAACTAGAACAAAACTAGAAAAGAAGAAAACTTTCCAATTGCTTCCTGGATGGGTGGAGGGTAAGGTGATCCTATATCACATAAAATCTCAGGAGGACATTGTAGAAACTTGAACAACATCATGGACCAGAAAGGTCATAGGACTGGCCATAGGGTTTAGAAACTGAAGGGACCTTAAAGAGCATCTCATCTAATCTTCTCATTTTACAGATGAGGAAACTGAGACCTGGAGAGGTGAAGTCACCTGCCTAAAATCATACAAATGACTAGTAGCAGGGTCCTAGTTTTGAATTTGTGGTTCTGGCCCCCAATATAAGTATTCAGTCCACCACATCATATTAGCATGCTTTCCATGGGCCTTAAACCTCCAATTCTCCCATCATGGTGGACAAGTTATTATAGAATAGACTCTTGGAAGACACAGCAAAGTCCAGATTAGTGTGAATAATAAATCCAACAAAGTGGTCACATGTATTCAAATTTGTACTATTTTAAGTTAGAATTACATAAAATATGGTAAATGGTTCAAGCTTAATAAGGGAAATATGTAGTGTAAATTCAAATAATGTAACCACTTACGGATTTCATTATTTGTACTAATCACAGCCAGATTGGAGATACCTTAGGCCAAATATCCTTTCATAGTCACTACTCCCCAATACATGTTGAGGATAGATATATGATAGAGAGATATATGTTAACAGAATGTAAACTCTTTGAGAGCAGGGAGTATCACACTTTTGTGTTTGTATGTGGCCTGATATACGGAAGATGCTTAGGAGATGCCTGCAAATTTATTGTTGTTCTGATGTGTGAACTGACTTTATTTTTCTCATGTGAAATGAGATGGCCAGTTCAGTCTGAATTCTATATAGTTTATTGTAGTATTATCACACCTTTGACTCCTTTCTGTTGTGAAAGACATTCTCAGGTCTGCTTAGCTTCTCTGACGCTTTCTTAACTCATATTTCTTTTCTCTGCCCAAATTCTATTTAATCCCATGATCCCAGTATTTCCACTTTATCCACACTGTGGCGTAACTATTTCAGCACATTTTCCCCCTGGAATTATAGCAGTAGGGAAAAAAGATGAAATTATATTCTGAATTGACTTGCTATAAAATACTTTGGATGTAGAACAATGAAGACTATAGATTCTGTAAGGGCAGAAATCACATCTACTTTTAAAAAATCTCCTACAATGCCTAAAACAGGGCTGCAGGTACTCAATGACTCTGTTACTGGATTTATGGAAGAGGGAGAATCACTATGAATTTTGCCCACCTGCCTGTATATTTCCCAAAGCCTGAAGCCCTAAGATGAGAACATGGCTCAGGGAAGAGGTGGTCCACCAGAGACAGCAAGTGAGCCCATGGTACAGCTGGGTCACCTCTGCCCCCGAGAATACAAATACATTTCTGTCTTAGCAGTTGTATAAGATATCAGCAGCTAAAAGAAGAATTCAGGAAGGGGATGTTAGGGAGATGTTTCTCCCTCCAGCAGAGCACTTTTAGAAAGATTTACCTAGGATCAAAGAGGTGAAAGAATTCAGAGGCCTTACGGTATGGCTCTTGTTAAATGGCAAGTATGTAGCAGAGCAAAGAGAGTGCCGAGTCTGGAGTCAGAAAGACTCCTCTTCCTGCGTTCAAATGTGACCTCAGACACTTGCTAGCTGTGTGATCCTGGACAAGTCACTTAACCCTGTGTGCTTGACTTTTCTCATCTGCAAAATATGCTGGAGAAGAAAATAGCAAACCACTCTGACTCCCAAAGTGGAAGAAATTGAATTGAAATACAAGATAGAGAGGAAGTAAGATGACACTTAGCTTCCCTCAGTATCACCCAGTTTATCAGGCCCTTAGAGACGAAATCCCAAATTACTTTGATTCCTAGCAAAATTTTTGGTGTTATTGAAGGTGTGATTAGCAAGCATTCAAAAAAGGAAACAGGTTATGTAAGAGAGAATCAGCTTCATTATGAACAAGACACGTCAGAGTAAACTCATTTCCTTTTTTCCAAGATTCCTAAATTTGTAGGTCAAGGAAATGCTATAGATGATACAATGGCCTTATATTTTAGCAAAGCACAGGGTAATCTCTCATGTCATTCTTGTGGGCAAAATGAAGGACTGTAGGCCAGATGGCAGTACTGGTGGGTGGGTAGATTTGCAGTTGGTTGCATGACCAGATCTACAGAGCAGTTACTAACAGTCCCAGGTTTATTTGAAATAAGGTTTCCAGTGGGGTGCTCCAGGTTCCTGTGTTTAAGTCCATGATATTTAACACTTTCTTTAAAAATCAATGATTGGGATGGAAGGGCGGATGACATGCTGCACTTGGAATCAGGAAGATCTGAGTTCAGATCCCAATAGCAATTATTTTAGTAGCTTGCCCATGGGCAAGCCATGTCATTTCTCTGAGTCTCTTCATCTGTCAAATGGGAATAATAATGCCCATAATACCTACTTCTCAGGACTGTTATGAGGATCAAAGGGTAGAAAGCACTTATCAGACTTGAGGATGCTAGATAGATGCTAGATCCTGGCATAAGTTATTATCCTGTGGGCTACTGCCCTAGTAAATGAAATGGCTTCTTTGTGTAACTGAATAAAAGTACTGGGATGTCGGCACATTCTATGGAAGCTCACTGACAGATTCTCTTTGGGACAGGTCCAATAGCAGACAGGAGGGATTACTTCCACTAAGTCTCTGTAGTTTGAAATCTTTTAATTCCATATAGTTCGGAGATTGTGAGAATTTGGTATGTCAACACATATATTAAAATGTAAAATGTTCAATGTTCATGAATCTGTGTTCTTATTGTTATTACCAATATTATCATCAGATTTTCAGATGACTGAAAGTTCCTAGGAATAACTAACGCATTAGATATCAGAAACACAAAGGTCTTGCATGGCTAGAATATTGGACCAAATCTATTAAGATTAAATTTAATATAGATGAATGTAAAATTTCATATGAGTTCAAAAAGTCAACTTCACAAGTACAAAATGGGGAAGATAATAACAGTCATCTGAAAAAGATAGAAGGGATTTAATGAGCTGCAACTATATCTCTATATCTCTATCTATATATCTCAACAGTGTGATGTGGCAGTCAGAAAAGAGAATGTAATCTTGGGCTCTATTGAGAGTCAGTGTCCAGAATGAGGAAGGTCATCATCCAAATGTACTTTGACCTGGCAAGGCCACATCTGGAGTATTGTGCTCAATATTCTAGCAGTATATCTGCTCAGTTCTGGACTCACGTTTTAAGAAGGACATTTGGCAATTTGGAGAATCACCTGAGAAAGGGTGACTAAGATGGGGAGAGGCCTTGATATCATGCAATATGAGGAAAAGTTGAAGGAACTGGGGAACTTTATCGTTGAGAAGAAAAGAGCTAGGGAGGACATAATTATCCTCAAATATGTAAAAGGCTTGGATGTGGAGGAAGGGCTAGATTAGTTCTGCTTGGTCCCAAGAGATAAAACTAGGAACAGTCAATGGGGTTTCAGAGAAGCAGATTTGGACATAAAACAAGGACAAACTTCCTCATAATTAAAGCTATCCAAAGTAGAATGGGCTACCTCAAGAGATAGTGGACTTCTCCTCACTTTGGTCTTTAAGCAAAGGCTGAATAACCATCATACCACAGAAGGGATTCTTATTCACATATCATTTGGGCTACATGATCTCTGAAGTCACTTTCAGCTCTTAGATTCTATGATTTTAAGTATCCAGTTGAACTTTGTTCTTGGTTATAGGCTTTTCCTGTCCCACCCTTGCCCCCACCCCTGGCTTCCTAGAATCTCCCTCATAATTTCAAAGATTTCAGTTGCCTTCAATTCAAAATTTCTACAGCAAGGTCCCACTTCTGTTTGGTAAACAGATGTAATCAGGACATCTGTCCTTTTGATTGGTAGATGGATAAAGTAACTGGAGTCGGAAAAAAAGGTGAAGAAGCAGATATAGCAGGGATACATTCAACCCAATTCTATAAATATTCCCACCATGGCCAAGGCATTTTCTTAAGATCTCAAAGAGCTGATAATAAAAGTGGGATAAAATACATAACCAAATAATTGTGATACAAGGCTGACTGTGATATGTGTGAAGGAGAGGTTCAGACACAGTGTTGTGAGAAATCTGAAGAGAGAAAGCTGAATTTGTTTGGTGCAGGGTTGATGGGAGGGCCAGGGAAGGATTTTTAGAAAAGGCAGTACCTGCACACGCATGGACACAGGAGAGGGCAGGGCAAAAAAAAAAGGGGGAAATTAAGTTGGAAAACAGTGTATGAAAGACAATAATATGAGATTTAGCTGGAATGCATGGAGATGGGAGAAGGCAGGGTGAGAACAGGGATAGAGGTGAATCTAATTTGTCTAAAAACGGCCCCATTTCATCGCTGTGACCACCTCCAAGTCTATTTATCACAATATCTCTTAGCTTCTCAGTCCAAAATCTGAATGATACAAGTAAGGCCTCCCAGCAGACGCTCCCCAGCTTCTGGCTGACATTCACTTACCTGGAATGCCTGGTGACCCAGCGAGTCCAGGTTGCCCTGGCAACCCTGGAAAGCCTCGACATCCATGGCCTGGTAAACCTGGGTTACCAGGAGGCCCAACATTCCCTTCTCTGCCTTGAAGTCCTTTCTGGCCTGGGAATCCTGGAATACCAGTTGTCCCTGAAATGACATAATGCTTTCCATGACATAAAACTCTTCATTTGAATGAATTTAAAAATACAGCATAGTTGAGGCCCGCTATTACTTTGCTTCTCACTACTGTGTGACTCTGGGAAATTACCTCTCTGAGCCTCAGTTTCCTCCTCCACAAAATGGGGATCATAATGCCAGTAGTTCCTAATTCACAGGGTTACACCACAAATGAGATACTATATTCAAAAAATAATAGCCACCATTTATATAGTGCTTGATGGTTTGCAAAGCACTGCACATATATTATCTCATTTAATCTCCTGCATCATACTATGAGTTCCTAGAAGGCAGGGACTATCTCAGTGCCTGCCACTGAGCTAAGGTCTGGCAATAAATATTTATTGATTGAATGATTGATCTTCATTTCACAGATCGGTAAGCTGAGGCAGACAGAGTTTGAAGCGTCTTGCCCAGGGTCACACAGCTAGTAAGATGTTTGAAGCATAATCTGAACTCAGGTCTCCTTGACCCCAAGTCACTTAATCTCTCAGTATATCCAGTCAACTCTCTTTTCGGAGAACTTTTGGCAGTTATTAAGTGCACCTAGCACTGTGTTGGTGCTGGGGATACAAATAGAAAAGCTGACAATCCCTGCTGACTGAAAGCTCTCATTCTAAGATAAGAGAGAGATGGTATATGTGTGTATGTGCATATGTAGGCTTGTATGTATTGGGTTTCAGCTGCAAGGTACTCAGCGAACAATGATTGTCTTTGAACTTCACCCCATTTGCCAGCAGCTGTGAAAGGTGAGCCTTTTGCCCTATTTTGCCTTGCACCAGGCCTTCTCTACAATCCTTCTACTTGTCACTTCATTGAACTGTCCCATACCCTCTTCTTTCCTCCCCTAGTAGCAGCCCTCTTTTACATGCATCTTTCTCAATTAGAATATAAGTTCCCCGAGGGCAGGGATTGTCTCCCTTGATTTTTGTTTCTCCAAAGTTTAGCACAGTGTTCGGCACATGGAAGGCACTGAATAAATGCTTTATCTAATCGAATCTATTCTAGAACCATCTACCTATAGAAGCAAATTTAGAAAAAATGTTGAGTATCACTAGGTCTCCATAAGGGTAAACTGTCCTGGCAAAAGTTTTATGCTATAGATTACTCAAAGCTAATCCCCAATATCTTCAGTGACCAATCCCAACATCCTATTATGCTCAAAGATCCACCATCACCACCGCTACCACCACCACCTCCACCACCACCACCACCACCACCACTACCACCAACACCACCAAAAATTGCATGTACCTGTTGCGCCAGGAAATCCTGGATCACCTCTGAGCCCTCTAAGCCCAGGCAATCCTGGAAGGCCCATATTTCCTGGGAGCCCTGGCAGGCCATAAACAGAATCCCCTGGCATTCCTTTTTGACCATTGATTCCTGGTAACCCTGGAGGGCCTGGAAGACCAATAGGGGCAGACCCCTTTTCACCTTCAGGGCCTGACTCTCCAGGGTCACCTCGAAAACCTATTTAATAAAAGTAAATGTTAGGCAGTAAAATATGACAGTAAAATATTGTGATGAGAATAAAGATCCTTCAGAAAATTTTGCATCTTCTGAAAATGTGCGCTGCTAGCTCATTTGGTGATGTTTTTCTCTTCACTATACTCAGGCAAGGAAGTTGTATGTCCTCCTTTCTAGTAAGACTCATCAATACGTCCTGTTTCGTCCTCTGATGACAAAATATTGTACTGAACTGATTTTTTTTAATCTTAAATGAACAAAGAGTTCTTTTTACATTTCACATTTCTTATTTTTCCACTTAAAAGTATTTTCTTTTTTCCAATTATATGTAAAGATAGTTTTTAACATTCACTTCATAAGATTTTGAGTTCCAAATTTTTTCTCCCTCCCTCTCTCCTCTCCCCCCTCCCCAAGACAGCAAGCAATCCAATATAGGTTATACATGTACAATCATATTAAACATATTTCCACATCTAATGTTGTGAAACAAGAATCAGAACAAAAGGGAAAAACCACAAGAAAGAAAGAACAAAAAGAAAATGAAATTAATATGCTTCTATCTGCATTTAGACTCCATAGTTCTTTCTTTGGATGTGGATAGCATTTTCCATCATGAATTTTTTGGAATTGTCTTAGACCATTTCACATTTCAAATAGAAAGAACCTTGGTAATTATACTCCTATTCCAATCTAGCAGAACCTAACAGAAAGCCAGCATTTCATATTTTTAAAAAAGCACCCTAATATGTTAAAGTTAGCTTTCACATATTTATTGATCTAGATTCCCAAAAAAGGAAAAACATTTTTTCACTTACCAGGTGGTCCTGGTATTTCTGATATTCCTGGTTTGCCTCGTTGACCTTTCTGCCCATCAAATCCAGGTAGCCCAGCTTCACCTGGGGGCCCTGGAAATCCCTTAGGACCTGAAGAAAAACAGCAATGAACAACCAAGCCTTTCTGAGGAAAAAAGAAAACTCCAAAGTAAACACTAGGAATTTTTTTCCTGCACACAATATTATGTACTAAATGAGAGTATTTTATACATAAAATTTTTAATTTCTAGAGATTAAAAGGTTTGGCTAATCCTTCTGTCATTTTATATGAGTCAGACTAGAGTGGAGGTGTCAAACTAAGGCAATTGGGAAATGTTTAACATAACAAATAAAAATACAATACAACAGAGATAATGGCATTTTGAGGTTTTTTAAGTCAAGATAAGGCCCTCAGAGATCTTGCCTGTTTGAAATTTATACCATCAGACTAGAGATATACATGCTTTCCCAGTGAATGACCTTTTATGAAGCCATATAACAAAGGACCCAAATTCAATGCCTTTATTAAAGATCTCATTATATGAAACCCTTCATCATATCTTTCTATGCACAGTTGGTTTCAGGTATTTTATAGATTGGAAAAACATCTATGAAGGGCAAGTCTATCTGGGAAACTGATGATGCACTTCCTTAGTGAATCAGAACATAGAATTAAGTCCTCAAATCTCCTGCTGGCAGGGATTGTGTTTTGTGCCTGTTGTGATTAATGATGGGCAACTACCTCCACCAAAAATGGATTGTAAATTCTGGCTTAAGCTTTGAGTAGGGGGAGGCTCAAGGAAGAGCATCAGCAATAAAAACCAATTGCTGTTCATTTCATTCGGGGATAAGCTCCCACAAAGATGGTTGTTTCTGTTTCCATTTCATCATAAGGGAAGCGCTCCAGCTCCATGTTTACGTGACAACCCTGCAATCAGTTAGAAAATGAAAAATTTGGGCAGTCATTCGAGAAATTGTATCGTCTGCAGGACACTAAACAATTGGTGTGAGCGGTCTTTTCATAGATTGAACAGGTCATTTGTTTTAGAACTACCCAGGTACGGCCCAAGAATCAAAGAGCAGGACAATATGGCATCAACCTCTCCACTTCCTTCAGGCCTTCTCCATCTGTCTGTGATGAGAAAGGCCAAATTCAAGGGCTACAACGGTGTCTATAAAAAACAAAACAAAACAAAAACCTTGGGAGGTCCGATTAATTTTAGGGAGACATATACAAACAAACAAAAAAACCCGGGAGATAAATTGATGTATATATTGTGTAGGCTTGGCGATCTTACTTCCATGGCCTCAACTATCAGCTTTTTGCAGGTAACTGTGAAATATCCATTTCCTCTTTCCTCGTAACTAGGCCTCTATCACCATCTCAACTGGGTGGCACAGTGGATGTAATATTGGATTCGGAATCTGGAAGACCCATGACACTGAATATTGCCCCATTCACTTAATACCATTGTGACCTTCAGTGAGTCACTTAACTTCTCTCTGTCTCAGTATCCCCATCTGTAAAAGGGGGATAATAATGGCTGTCTCAAAGGGTTATTGTGAGGATCAAATGAGATAACATATATAAAGCACTTTGCAAAAGATAAAGTGTTTTATAAATGCTAGCTATTATTGTCTCATCATAAGACCTAGACAGACACTTCAAAGGCAGTATGCCCCCATCAAACACATTAGTTTTCTCTTTAAATTTATGTTTCCCTCTGACTTCATTGACACAGTAGGAACTTTTTTTTTTAGGCAGACCTGTGATTTTCATTGGTATAGGGGAACGCCCAATGAGGAAATTGCTTTAACTGATACAGACCTGTACCCCTTCTACAATTTATAACCTTGGAAAACTGCCAGGGGAACCAAGAGATTAAATGACCTTCCTAAAGTCATACAGTTATTTTATTAAGAGGTGGGTCTATGAACTCAGATCTTCCTGGCCTCAAGGTCATCTGTCTATCTGCTATCTCACACTCTATTCATTATATGCCACTAGTTGTCTTGGGGTTAGAGAGTCATTGCTAAACCTTGTGTTTTTTGACATCTGGTATTTTAGCCAGTCTTGTTCTGTCAGATTTTTACCATCTATGTCACACCACCTTTCAGGCCCTTAATAAGTGTTGAAATTGACTCAATGGAAAGAAAAAAAAAAATCGCTTCAAATGAATCATGAACTAACCAATCAACAAGTATTTGTTAAATGCCTACTATGTGCTGAGCACTGTGCTGGGTCTGAAGATCAAACCAAGTGTCTTTATATGTGGCCAACTTTTCAGACATCTTCAATAGAAGGACTGAGGCTCTTAGAAAACTGGGACATCAAAAGCTAGGTGGCACCATAGATAGAGCACCAGGCCTGGAGTCAGGAGGACCTGAGTCAACTTCTACTGGGGATGCTAACCAGATGTATGACCCTGGCCAAGCCACTTAACCTTGTTTGCCTCAGTTTCTTCATCTGTAAACATGAGCTGAGAAGGAAATGACAAACCACTCCAGTTTCTTTGCCAAGAAAACCCCCAATGGGGTCACAGAGAATCAGACATGGCTGAAAATAACTCAACAATAACACTTACAAATAGGTAGAAAATGAACAGCTATCTTTAAATCCTGGGGTCACAGGGACCATTTGTTGGTAGATGAGCTTGTCACTATCTGTGGACAGAATTTAGTCCAATGTTTTTCATAGGATCATAGCTTTAGAGCCAGAGGGAGTGCCAGAGGCCATCTTGCCAAATCCCCTCATGAGGAAACTGAGATCTAGAGATGTTACATGACTTATCCAAGGTCACACAGCCATCCAGTATCAGAGGAGGGATTCCAACCTGAGTTGGTCAGGTTCCAAGTCTGATTCTAAATCCCCTGTACCAGAAAGCCTCCCTTTGGGGCTACTACACAATGATCCTGCATGCTGTCATTATTTGGGACTTGGTTTCTGTCAAAATACTATTAAGAAACACCCTGTTTTCCATAGCTAAGGGCCAGCAAGCAAGCTGTACCCTAAGCTTGGCATAACAACAATCCTTTGCACTCACCCTCTGGATGAACTAGGGCATAGCAAAATCCCAGAATTATTTCCATTATTTTATTTCAATTTATTTTATTTCAATTATTTTAATTATTATATTGCTGTGACCAACACCAGGTATTCCCTGCAGTCCAGCCATGAAGCCCTACTATGTATCAAACTTGTCTCATTGTTGTGGTTACCCTTCATTGTCAAGGCTACAGCTCACCACGTAGCTGTTGGTATAAGAAATGAGATGTGCCCATACAACCACAGGTCCTCCCTCTATGGGTGGGGGGCTGGTGCATGTGTCTAGTTTCCCTCCTTGCTTGTTAGTCATTTCCCTCACTATAGAAAAGAAACTTCTGTCTTAGTCTCTGTGCAGCTATTCTTGCCTGCTCTGTCTAGTTCAGACCTCCACAGGCTAAGAGGTTCAGTCCAATTGACATTCCTTATTATTATTCTTTAAAACCTTGTTGGGAGTATGGATATCAGTGAGTGGTGTGCTGGTAAATGTTTAACAACCAAGTCTCCAGAAAAATTTATTTTAAGTACACATGACAGTTTACTCTGTTTCATTGAAGTTCACTTTGTATTATTAACATTTTACCATTACTTTCTTAAGTCTAGACAACCAACAAAACAATAAATGAATCCCTGATTTATAGCATTTGCCAATTTCACAAAATTTAACAACTGGATCTCTGGAGCCGGTTCAAGCTAGCTTCAGTATGCCACTGATAGATACTGATCCCTGCTTTGAAGACTCCAAAAATGCATTCCCTACTGCTCTCCCAGGAGTTCCTTATTTCGGATATAGCCTGAGTAAATTATTTGGATGTTTTCTAAGCAGTTTAAAATTGACCATTCATACTACTTATTTTTACAGCAGGAAGATGAGACAGTGCTTCTGAGAGATATACTTACCCGGACCACCGGGAACACCTGGAGCTCCAGGGCTCCCGGGAGAGGGAGAAGGACAAGGATAAGTGTCACCTGAAGGGAAAGAAAACAGACGCTTTCAAATACCGGGTGTTTGGAAAAAAATACAAGTGTCTCTGTTGTTGAAATATTAAAGCTGATGTCACTGAACTGCTGAAATTCTTTTATGTATAGCCAGGCTGCATGGGAAGCCGAGGGGAAAAATAATTCCAGATTTGAAAGAAGCCTTCCACTTGCCTAAGTGGTTTTGGGATAGTCTTTGACGCTGAGTTCGAGAAGATGCTGGCTTGAAACTTGATATTTCATGATCAAAACATTTACAGACACAGCAGGGAAGGGCCAGAAGTGTTTTATGACAAGCAGCATGAAATATTTCTCTCCCTTCCTTCGTGCCTATTAGTATCCTTTTAAAGAATACCATGTGTTTGTCATAACAGACATTTAATATAGGATCACCCGAAGCTTTGATAAGATGAGGTGTGTATTACAGGGAGTTCTGGACTACTAGTACAGAGACTTGAATTCTCATACCAGTTCTGATAGTAGTTGACTATGGGACTTTGGTTTTATCATTTCACTTTTCTCCATATGCAAAAGGAGGTTGGATTAGATGATCTCTAAGGTACCTTGTAGCTTGAACACTCACAGAATCACAGATTTAGAACTAGAAGGGGTCTTAGAGGCTGTTTAGTACAACTCCCTCATTTGACATATAAGGAAACTGAGGAAGAAGCTAAGTGATTTATCCAAGGTCATAGATAGCAAGGAGCAAGGCTGAGATTCTAACTAAGGTCCTCTGATTCCAAATCCAGTGCTCTCTCCAACCAAATTGGAATTAGGGGAGAAGTTAGTAAGTCAGGATGCCATGCTGATTCCAGAATCAATGATCTTTCCATCGCAGTGGAAATAATAAAGTATGATATAGTACCCTGCCAAATCAAGATATTTTACTTCATGGGTATAAAGAAAATGCAGGATGCTAAATTCGGGTGACTTCCAGATCTTTATTCCTTTGAATTTTGGCCCATATCAAGCTGTTGACATTGTAAGTAAACTCCAAATTGAAAAACAAAAACATTATTTTATCCCCTGAAAGCCTAGGGGGAAAAAAAAAGAATGGGAACTGAAAAACATGTACAAATAATAAAACACAAAACAATATCTGTAGAAAAGTCCTCTCTTTCTACCTCCCACCCTAATTTTTCCAGTATTTTGATCCAAAGGTCTGAGGTCACTCCAGCACTAGTCTTTGGAATTCATAGAAATGTCAAGGCCTATATTCCAATGACCTTGTTTGTCCACCTTAGAAGGCCTCTGAATGACTTCTTGGATGATAATCAGGTAAGTTTCAGATGAAATACTGGAGTCTGCGATTAGAACACCCAGGGATAATTCAAAGGATTATATAAAAGAGAAAATAACATTCTGGAATCTCAGATCCTCTTTAATTTTAAAGTATTCAAGTTATCTGGATACAAAGGAATGAAAAAAGCCATATGGACCCATCAAACAGAGACCACAAAAAAAGGCTTGTTGGCTTTTTCAAGTTTGTTCTATGAACTGGTTGTGATTTCTTGTTTTCATTTTGGATTATAATTCTGCCATGACATTCTTGAATGTCTTTTTTGGAACTTTAATCCTAAAACTCTGCCTGTCACTACCCCTGGGATGACTTAACTCTTTGGGGAATAAGGTCATTGATCAACTTTTTATTTTTTCCATATGTCAGTATTCAAATTTACCTTTCTGGCCTTTGGAACCTGCTGCTCCCCTCACGCCAGGGTGGCCAGGACTCCCTGGCCCACCTCTCACCCCTTTTGGACCAGGAAATCCCAGTCCTGGAGGCCCCATTGGTCCCATTCTCCCAGGAGATCCTGGTGCTCCTGGGGATCCTTCCGCACCTGGGATTGCTCCGCCACGACTGCCCTGGGAACATTTCCATCATCAGTCAGTGTGATCTCTTTTTTGGTAATGTCCCAATTAGTTCAAAAATACTTGTTACATAAATTTCCATCTTGTGTTAATTTAATCAGAACAACTTTCTGCACAACTGTATTCAAGCCCAATATTCAAGGTCTGGCTGTATGAAAGACTCAACTTGTCTTTAAACCCATCAGTTTAATCACATCTGGTTTAGGAGAGCGGATGACTCAGATGACAACTAATTTTCATCAGTTCATTTTATAATAAATTAAAGTTGAATAATGACAGCCAGAGGACTTTGTTTACTATTGATTTGTAACAATATTATAATATTCAATGAATAATAATTTAGTTAGTTTGTTGTTGAAGTTAAAAGACAACCTTATGTATTTATAATACTTCATGGTTTTGAGATCATGTCCCCATCAATTATCTCATTTGATCCCAGTGACATTAGGGTAGGCATTGGTATTCCTACTTTACAGATGTGGAAACTGAGGTTTCACCTCATACTCATCAAACTGGCAAAGCTGATAAAAAATGGACACAGACAATGGACTATTGAAAGGGTTGTAGGAAGGCAAGTCCACTAATACAATGTTTGTGAAGCTGTGAAATGTTCCAACCTTTCTGAAAACCAGATTGGTATTATGAGAGAAGTGTCAAACTATTCATACTCAGCTATTGAATATATACCCTCAATAAGGTCACTATTCTTTTGCATTCACATAAATGTCAAGGCATATATGCAAACCATCGGAAGGCTTCTAAATAATTTCCTGGATGATAGGTATGTTTCAGATGAAATACTAGGTGTTTGCAATTAGAACACCCAGGAGTATTCCAGAGGACTGTATAGAAGAGAGAATAACATTCTGAAATCTCAGAAAGAAAGTCCTATATATAACAAAATATTCAGAATAGCGCTCTCTGTGTCAGTGAATACCGGAAAAGAAATAAATGTCTATTGACTGGGGGGGGGGGTACCTGAACAAATTACAGTTGCATATTAATATAATGGAAAATGATTCTGTCTTATGAAATTTTGAATATAGGAATTCAGAAAAGATTTAGCTGAAGTTATAGAGATTAAAAAAAGCATAACCAAGAGAACAACATAGATGGCTATAATAATATAAATGATAATACTCAAGAGCAGTGTGATGAACAAATTCAATCCTAGAAAAGAGATAAAGAAACATACCTTCCTCCTCTCAATAAAAAGGTAGGAGCTACAGATATTAAATATGGTATATGCTACTAGATCCACTTGCTGTGTTGTTTGGCTTTTCTTTGATAAAGGGAGGGTATGATGGCAGTGGGAGAGGTGAGGTTGTTACAGAGATTGTTAAAAATAAAAAGCAGCAATAAAACTATTTTTTCTCCAGTTTTCAGTGTCTTCCTATTGCCTCTAGGATAAAATACCAACTATTCAGCTGGGTCTTTAAATCCCTTCACAATCTGGCTCCATGTTAGCTCCTATAATGGGTCCCTTTTTCAGTCCACCTAAATTTGTCAGCTGAAGTATCTCACAAATCATGAGAGCCTTCCATGGAAGCCTCTAAGTGAAATAATCCCAATACAAATTGTCCTTTAAAATCCTTTCAGGAGAAACTGAAGACTCAAAAGACCATGGAGTTAAACTTGAAATCCATCAATAAGCATTTATTAAATGCTTACTATGAGTCAGGCACTATGCTAAGCACTGGGGATGCAAAGAAAGGAAAAGATGATCCCTGCCCTCCAGGAGTTTTCAGTCCATTGGAGGAGACGACAGGCAAACAAATGTGTGCCAACAAGCTAAATACAGGATAAATAGGAAACAGCTAACAGAGGGAAGGCATTAGAATGAAGAGGGATTGGGAAAGGCTTCCTGGAGGAGATGCGATTTTAGCTGAGACTTGAAGGGAGTCAGGACGCAGAAGAGGGAGCATTCCAGGCAAAGCCAAGAGATGGAGTATCTTGTTTGCGCAACAGCAAGGAGGCCAATGTCACTGCATCAAAGAATCCATGGCAAGGAGCAGGGTGTAAGAAGTCTGGGAAAATAGGACTTTGAATACCTAACAGACGACTTCATATTTGATCCTGTTATAGTCCATTAGTTGTAAGCTCCTTGAGAACAAGGGTTGTCTTGCTTTTTATTAATTGTATCTCCTGTGCTTAGCACTGTGCCTGGTACATAAATGTTTATTAGGTTATGGGATTGGATCAATCCTGGAGGTGATAGGAAGACAATGGAGTTTATTGGAATGGGTCATAGTAGCATGAATAGATCTGAGTTTTAGGAAAATCATTCTAGTGGCTAAATGGAGAATAGAGTGGAGTAGGGAGAGACTTGAGGTGGGCAGACCCATCAACAGGCTATTGTAAGAGTCTGAGCAAGAGGTGATGGGAGCCTGCATTAAGGATGGTGGCAGTATCCGAGGAGAGAAGGGGGTGTATTTGAGAGATGTTGCAATGGTGAAATCAACAGGCCTTGGCAACAGATTGGATATTGGAGGGGGGGGAGTGGTAAGAGATAGTGAGCCTAGGTTGAGAGTCTGGGGACTGGAAGGATGTAATAGAAAAGTTTGGAATGGGAAAGAGTTTAGAGGGAAAAATAATGAGTTTAGTTTGGGGCAAGTTGAGTTTAAAATGTCTTCTGTACATCCAATGAGAGATGTCTGAAAGGCAGCTGGAGATATGAGACAGGACTCAAAGGTGCTTTAGGACAGTAATAATAAAGAAAACTTTTCTCCCTCTTTCCTACTTTTCTTCTTGCTTTAAGCTATGGATATTTAACTTTTCTCCCCAAATAATACCTTTTCTTTTTCATTCTAGACTTACCTCATCCTATAGCCACATGTTCCTGAATCCTAGGGACTAGAATATTGAATGGGGTCCCTAACAGTATATTACTGAACAAGTATTCAGGGAGATCTCTACTGTAAACTTTCCCCTGGAAGCTATTTTAAAAAGAATTGTAGAAAAAAGAAAAACCCTTCTATTTTATAATCATCTTTTTTCCTAGAATTAGCTAGGTGTCAGAACTGGTAGAGTGCTGAGCCTGGAGACAGGAAGATGAGTTCAAATACATCCTCAGACATTTCCTTGCTGTGTGACCCTGGGCAAGTCACTTAACCTCTGTCTCAGTTTCCTCAACTGTAAAATAAGGATAACAACAGCATCCACCTCCCAGGGTTGTTATGAGGATCAAATGAGATAAAATTTGTAAAGAAGTGCCTAGCACAACGACTGGTATATAATAGGTGCTTAATAAATGCTTGTTTCCTTCCTCCCCCCTTTTTTCCAGAGCAGTAGTATGAAGCAATGTTGTGGTTGACAGTTATCCCCATATCCTGTGCTCTCCATTTAATCATTAAAACAATTGGGGAAATGAGCAAATACTCCAAACCTTTTCTCTTTCACTTATTAAACTCTCAGCAACCTTCTTCTGTCTAAGAAGGGTGTTCTTAACCTGGAATCTGTGAACTTGATTTTTAACAATATGTTGATAAATGCATTTGAATATAATTGATTTCCTTTGTAATGATCTGTATTTTATTTTATGCAGTGAAAACCTGATTCTGAGAAGGAATCATAGCCTTCACCAGATTTCCTAAAGGGTCCAGGACACCAAAAAAGGCTAAGACACCCATACTAAGACAATCACTTGGAGAGAAAAAAATACAGTAGGAAAAGCCCTGATCCTCACAGAGATGGGAGACTGGTGAACTATCTGGAAAACCAAAGGTTGCTTCTCATCTTTGAGACAAAACAGAGGCACATATTAGTGAGTAGAAATGTATATTTACATCATTCTAACTTTGCGTAACTAGTATTGATGTTACCTTTCTGTAAAAGCATTTTGCTGTGGTTAAGAGATCTTTTCCTCCCTGTCCTCTACTGAGCAATTCAAGGGCAAAATCCCAACTCTGAGGAGTAGAAAGAACCTATGTATGACTAAAAATTAACATACTTGCTCTGTTTTTTAATTAAGAAAACTGGTTTTTGCCTTTTCTATTAAATTAGGCTATCCCAAAGTACCAAAAAAAAGCATATCTTTCTACCAATTGTTAAGATAAATTGATTCCTTGTTAGATATTTTGTCAGTGAACACTTGCATCTAATGCTTTCAATATTGTCTAATAACTGTATGAGTTTAGTTAGGAAATCATTTGTATTAGAGTAAGCAAACACACATGTATATTTATTTGTGCTCTGCTCCTGTTAAAATGCCCCAAGAATATGTGGTCCATCGTTAACCACGTATTCCTAAGGCTTCAGGGTCCCTCTCTGTATCTTGTGTAAGACCACTGGGCAGTTAATTGTGCTCCAAAATATCCATCCAATAAATGTGGTGTCAGATGCATGCATTTTGGGACTGGGCTATCTCAATTTTCTGGTGTGGTTGACTTGCCACGAGCTCATTCATTTAGGAAGCATTCACTACTAAAGTGTGGGGGAAATGGTCTAATCACCCCTACCTCTAAAACCTCTAATGCAGTTTTCGAGATTTATTTCGCATTACTCCTTTTCGTGTTTCCTGTTTTTAGACAAACTTGCCTCCTTACTATTCCCAGAATTCAGCATTCCATCTCCTCTCTCCATCCTTTGAAAAGGCTATCCACCCTCCCACATTCTCTCCTCACTTCTGCCTCTTGGAATCCTTAACTTTCCACAAGTTTTAGTTGGGGCACCTAAATGAAATATTTCCTGATCTCCCTAGTTCATGCTAACTCTGTCACATTAGCTTGGTGTTTATTTATTTGTCTTACATGTTGTATCTCCAAGTAGAATGTAAGCTCTTTGAGGGCAGGAATTGTTTCTTGTTTTTGTCTTTGTCTCATCCCCAGTGCTGACAGAGCAGACACTCATAACATAAAATGTTTATTGAATTGAATTGGTGAATTGAATTTTTCTACCACCAAACCCAGAAATTCTAAGAAATTTTAATATTATTCTTTTGCCTGTTCCTCACTATAACCAAAGATATGCCTTTGTAAGATAGTTGATTAGTATTTGGGGTTCTGTTTATATCCATGGAAAACAGTAACAGTGGCTTGAACCCACGACCTTGGCTTCATTCACGTCATTTGCCAGCAAAATTGGCTAAGCAGCCACAAGTTACAGTCAATGAGAGCTTTGTGGATGAAAGGGCCACACAGAGGAATGAATACAAGGGCAACTCTGCTGAGAGAGTGGCAGAAAAGACTGTTATAAATGAACTGCCAACCACAGTTTCAAACCATCTCTCATTTAATGATTTATTTGGAAATTATGCATCCTTGTATAATGATGAATTGAAAAATTACCCTTACAGGTTTATAACATGTGAACTTACTATTATTTATTTACAATTTAGCAAACTACCAAGAAGAACGTTCACTTGTGATCACGTAAGCTAAGAAAATAAAGTAATGGAAAAAGTTACACATACTGGAAGACCTGGCTCTCCTCTTTCTCCATACAGTCCATTCTGACCAGGAACCCCTTCCTGCCCTGGATATCCAGGACGCCCATCGTACCCCTTTTCTCCTTTTCGTCCTAGGAAAAGAAACAAAGGACACTCCAACCTTTAAATTAGTAATGGGTAAAATGAAAAGCAAGAAAAATAATAAGAAAAGAAAACATTGTGTTATAAAGTCTTTTCTATTTTGGCTTAAGGTCTACATTTTCTCCTGCCAAAACGAATCTTTATCAAAGTTTAAAACCTATAGACTGGAACAACATTGGGATTTTGGAAACCTTCACCTGTGCTAGCACTCTTCCTTTTTTTTTTTTTTTTTTTGTTTGTTTGTCTAGGCAATGGCGTTAAGTGACTTGCCTGGGGTCACACAGCTAGTAAGTGTTATATGTCTGAGGCTGGATTTGAACTCAGGTCCTCCGGAATCCAGGGCCGGTGCTCTATCCACTGCACCACCTACCTGCCCCTCTAGCACTCTTACTAAGTAAATTGTCACTGTACCACAAGAAGGCTGTGGAATTGTGGCAAGAACATTCATTTTAGAGATCTAGTCTTAAATCTCCATTTTGGAACTTACTAACTCTATGACCTTGAGAAAGTCACAATCTTTCTGAACAGCATTTTCCTCATCTGTAAAATATGGATAGTAATACTTCTGCTACCTATCTTAAATGGTTGGGGTAGGGATTATATGAGATGCTATGAATTGCTACATAGGGATATTGTTATTATTTGTTTTCCTTCTTTCTCTATGGCCTAATATTGAGGGATAGATCCAAACCTAAGCAAAACTAAGGCAGTTTGTCTCTAGTCCCTTCTAAATAATAGTAAGTTCACATGTTATAACCTGCCCTTTTCTCCACCAACTGATGTTACGCATACCCACGTACCCTGTGTCAACATGTTGCCCCTTGATCAAAGGCCCAACAGCCCTACACTATAGTGACCCACTCACCTACACCTGCCCTCCCCAGGTAATGTTTCAAAACTAACTCCATTCTCCTTCCCTCCTCTCTAGTCAATTTCCCCCCCATTATTTCAGAACCTTGCACTTAGCTGTCCCTTTTGGAAAACAAAATCTTGAACTAATTCACTCTAAGTTCAATATGTTTTCCTCTGTCAAGGATATATAGGCTTTAACAGGGGATGCCTGAAGGTACAATGGTTTAACCCAAAGAAATGAATTTCTAATGACAGACTTTCAGACAGAGATATGAGATTGGGGCAGAGGAATGGTAAAGGCAGACAAGAGCAGATACAAGCAACTCCCTGGCCATAAGTAAGGCTGGTAAAGCAGTATTATTTGGTCTGGGTGCTATGGGAAAAGTCTATACTCTACGCAATCTATTCCCATATTTTTAAAGAGGTGTTTTAGAATGTATCGAGGACTCTCAATAGAAGGAGGGCACAAATACAGGGTCAACATCCAATTTAGAAAAAAAGCGCTAAGGATATAAAGGAAGAAGAGAGAGCTCGAGAGGATAGGGGATGATCACAGAAATGCAAAACCAGCTGAAGGAAAGGATGGGCCTAAGAGGAATAAAGGGATCTTGCTGCAAAGAAGAGTAATGGAGAGCCCTGGAGCAAGAAAGCTGGGAGCAGGGCTATTCAAGCCCAGGCTAAACACCTCAGCTCCAAGGGAGCATGGAGCCCCAGAAGAAGCAGAAACAGGAGACCCCAACAAGTTTGCTACCAATGAACCAAGAGGAAACTTCATCTTCCCAAAACAAACACATGTTTTCTCCAAACTCTGGCATTAATGAGTGGGTGAGACTAATAGAAAGAATGTGGGACTTGGGGTCACATGGTCTTGGTCTGAATCTCACTTCAGACTCTCACCAGCTGTTTGATCATGGATGAGGCCCTTATCTTCTCAGAGATTCCTTTTCATCATCTGTAAAATCAGTATGTGTATATATATATATATATGTATATACACACACACACATATACATATACACACACATATACATATATACATACACATACATGTGTATATATACATATATGTGTATATATACATATATATGTGTCCGTGTGTATACACACACCCCTTACAAGACTTTTAATGATGAGGTGAGGTATGTAAAGTATTTAAAAAACTTCCATATAAATGTGAGCTTCTTGTTACATATACATGATAATAGGGATTGTATCATTCTTATTATAATGTAGAAATTATCCCTATCTCCTGACCCCAGTATTAAAATGGATTCCTATCATACTTAATAAATGCCAGGAATGGAAAAGGGATCCTTGCATCAAATCCTAGTCAAGCAAAATGAGGATCCAAATGCTGGACAAGTATTTATTTTGGCTAGTGAGTCGAGTTAGGAGGACTCACTATATACCCAAAGACTAGAAGGAGGCCCATATGTAGTTTTAGATCTCAACTATCCTAATTACTATGAAAAGTTATTTACAGGCACAAAGGAACCCTAGGAGATGAAGAACAGAAGAGGTTTTGATAGTTTCTATGTAGCACCCACTACGAAAGTCATCGTTACCCAAAAGCATGTGTTAAAGACCTCCTCGGTGGATGGGACTGTGCTAACATTTGACTCATCCATGAATGGGATGAAGGTGCAGATGAATCCCACAAAACTAGAAGGGTGGTTGATTCATGCATTATTTTCAAAGTGACAGAAAGTTTTTAAAAATTGGATTTACCTTTGATTCTTGCTATTACCATATCACCCTTTTCTCCTTTAGGACCAGTTAGCCCCGAGGTACCAGGTATTCCCTTTTGAGAAAAAGAAAAAGTGAGTTTATAGATAAAAAGCAAACAATGGCTCCCATTGATGCTTCAGACAGAGTTAACATCCAGTCAAAAAACCAACAAACATTTATTAAGTGCCAGTGCTAAGCACTGGGGATTCAAAAACAAAAATGAAAAGTCTCAGCCCTTAAAGAGCTTTCATTCTATTAGGGGTGATAACATATAAGTAAGTGTGATTGGAGGGAAAGAAACTAATTCAATCTTTGATGTGTAGAGTTTGATATGCCAGTAGGATGTCTTGTTGGAAATATCCGATAGAATATTAGTGATATGGGAACAGGAGAGAGAGACGAGGACTTGGAAGTAATCTGCATAGAAATGAAAATGGAAACCCATGGAAGCTAGTCAAATCACTGATAAAGAGGGTGTAAAGAGAGAAGAGAAGATAACTTAAGACAGAGTCTTCGGGTATACCCGTAGTTAGGGGGTGGAAGATGGGTGATGAATCAACAAAGGAGACAAAAGGAACAGTCAGTCAAGCAGGAGGAGAACCAAGAAGATAACAGAGTCATGAAAACCCAAGAGAGGGCATCCTGGAGAAGAGGAGGTTCAATTGCATCAAACACTACAAGGAAGTCAAGAAGAATGAGAAATGGGAAAAGGTCATTGGATTTGGCAATTTAAAAAAATCACTGGTAATTTTGGAGAGAGTAGCTTCATTTAAGTGATAGTGTGGGGAGCCAGATTGCAAGGGGTTGAGAAATAAGTAAGAGAATTGCAGGCATAATGTAGATAGCTTTTTCTAGGTGTTTGGCTGAGAAATGAAAGAGAGATCTTGAAAGATAATTTGAAGGGTGGTAGGGTATAGTGAAAGGTTGCTAAAGATGAGGAAGATCTGGGCCTGCGTATAGGCAGCAGCAAAGTAACCAGTGGACAAGGAGAGATTAGTAGAGTGGGGTGTGCAGAGGTGGAAAGAAATCCACCAGAGGAAACAGGGGAATCTAGGACACCAGTATAAAGGTTGGCAGAGACTGGAGTAAAACAGAAGATAATATCTTGGGTTTTTAAGATGTATGGAAGGGGAGAAGAGGAAGCGCGTAAGGTAGAGCCCCTGTTTTGTTTATAAGGAAACTAATTCTTCTGCTGAGAAGGTGCTGTGGGGAGTATGAAAGGAGAGGGGAAATTTTAGGACAGCCACCAAGGACAATTTGATAGGAAGTCATTCAGGGAAGAATAAAAGAATTCTCTTACTCCAATGAGGACCAGCTGAGATTAGATAACATGAATTGGTGATGAACCCAATCAGCATTGTTGCACGGCTTCCCCTAGCACCCATCCAAAGCATGTGAAGAGTAATGGAAGAGGCAGATAATGGGATAGTCCAGGGTTGGAGTTTGGCAAGGCATATGTGTCAATAGGACAAAGAGGGCAAGGCACTGAGAACAGGTGCAAAACCAGAGTGGTTAACTACAGGGTCAACATCGCGAAAGGAGGAAAGTGAAGCCAGAGCAAGGGGTGAGAGAGCACCGGGAGAACATTGAAGGGTGCAGAGACCACAGGGCACACTGAAGAGGAGTAACAGTTTAGGAAGAACGAGGCGTGGGTACAAATGGAACGGGCAGAATTTCTAATTCTTGATCATGGAACTCCCCCTAGAGGCTTCCTAGGGTGACAACATACCCAATCTCATCAATCTTCCGTAATATTTCACTTACTTCTTTTCTAGCAGCTTCTACCACTCTAACCTCACTAATTTTCTCCCTTAGATCTCATCAGCTCCCATGGGTTCGATGATCACTTCTATGTAGATCGCGCTGAACTCTATATAACCAGCACGTATTTATCCCCAGAGCTTTTGTACTAAATCCTCCAGTGCCCAGATAACACAAATCACCTAAAACTCCACATGTCCCAAACAGTTGGGATCTCCCTCCTACGTCAAGCCATCCTCTCAACATCTATTCAGGACTTTCTTTTCCCCATAACTTCTCTTTGCACCCTTTGGGGTAAAGTTAAACTAGATTGCTAACTGTTCCCCCATATCCCGCATCTGTGCATTCACAGAGGCTGTTCCCCATTGCCTGAAGTACACATCCTTCAAGGCTCAGCACAGAAGCTACCTCTGTAAACCCTTCCTTGATTTCCTCCAGAGGAAAGTGTTCTCTCTTTTCTAAGTCTCCAAGTGCACTTGATCTGGACCAAGCAAGCAAGCAATCAGCAAGTATTTATTAAGTATCTACTATATGCAAGGCATAGACAATCAGTAAGCATTTAATAAGCTTCTACAGAAAGGAAGGAAGGAAGGAAGGAAGGAAGGAAGGAAGGAAGGAAGGAAGGAAGGAAGGA